TGTACATAGCTCAACATTATTCGCTGTAACTGCAACTACAACTTCCGTTTGCCGAAGTTAGCTTTCGTTCTCCTTATCACTGCTCTGCATTATACATATGTATGGCAGTATTTCCCCATCAATATGAACATTTTTTGATAACATTATTTTTATTAATTCCTATTAAATATATGTACATACATACTTATAGGAAAATATGCAAAAGAAATAAAAGAAAAGTAATTGATAAGAATAACGGAAGCTATTTATTTCAGAGAATATGTTATCAAATTATAAGTATTGTACAGAGAGTTCATTATCCATTAAGGCACAGCTGTAAAAATAACATGTATCTAACGAAACTTGAAACGCACCAGGTAATTCAATACTCGAATCACTGACCCAACCAATTTTTTGATTTGAAGGGATTAGTTTGACAAATAATGAGTTTATTTTTAGCACTCATAAGTCCCTTAAATCTTCTTATTGGGCTTGAAAACTCTGACCTTTACTTCGCAGATCAGCAAAAACCAAATGAAGATAATAAGCTCGAAATCACAAGCATCGAAACACTCAGTTGTGGGGGTCGAGTTCAGACTTTCTTTGTTTTCGGGTTATCTTTTGATCTCGCATGAACTTCCCGGCACTCTATTTATTTCTTTTTTTTTCCCATTTTGATTTCTGTCAGTCCAAGTACAGTGTTTGTTTGGCTTGTTTTTGGTTTGTTCTTTATCAAGGTAATTCACCAGAGCCCGCTCAATTGTTAGTTCAACAGATCTGGGATCGGGCCACTTAGTCTAACAGTAATCGACGCTAAACGTCGTCTCGTTTCGGAGCCTCTTGCTGATTGCTGACAACTTAATCAACGGAAAAAAAAAGAAAAAAGAAAAGAGGGGAAGGAGGAGGAAAGGCATATAAAACACGACACTGTCTATGGCCATGCCAGCTAATATCTGGCTGTCTATCTATAACACCCGTATACACTGGCCCAGCCACCACCATCATATACTATTTATGTATGTGCACCCACCCGCTTTTAGAATGCGCTACTTATCTGGTGGCAGTGTCCCTGAACTTTGGGCGGGATCAATTTGCACTGCCACCAATTGGGATTGGAAAAATGCGAAATGTGTCAAAATCCGTAAATCCCACAATGACAGATCTTTGTGCAAACCGATCTATGGGAAGCTGCCTGCCTCCTTTCCCCATTTCGTCTCTGTTTTGCGGCGGAGGACTGTGAAATTCGCCATTAGGTGGACTGAATTGATTGTCTTTGTGTTGAAAGGGTTCGGAAAAAATAACAAATTATATATAATACATCATTTAATATTTCAAACTCTCATTCAGTGATAAGGCACATTACAAAAATGTAACGTTATGATGTTTTATAAGTAAGCTTGAAATTAAAAACCAAAAAAAATCCTTCAACTTTTAAAAATGCAACTAAAATTAAAACCAAAAAAAAAACTTCTTTTGGGCACACATAGTTAGACTTAAAACTATAATGTTGGCTAAAAAAAGTTTTTTTTAATAGGTTTTGACATTTGGGCATAGGGTTTACGATCCCTTACGTTTATTGCTTTCTAGACAAAACAATGTCTTTAAAATTCTGAAATTTAATTGAAATTAAAAAATTGTTATTTAAAAAATGTATTTTCAATTAAACATCAAATAAAAAATTTTTTGGGGCAAGCCAACTATTAAGAAATCGTTCTATACTTGCTTATCAACAAACATTTTTTTTTTTATTAGGATTTGACATTTGGCCATTGGCTTTACGATCCCTTGAGATAATTGCTGTCTATGAAATATACTTTGGAGTATCCAAGGAAAAAATCGCTCAAATAATTTCATAATTTCACCGACCGATTTCGAAAGATGTTTTTTGAGATGTCAACAAAACAAAGTAAAAATAGTTGGTACTAAAAAAACCGACTCCTCGTAAAGTTGAAAACGGTGTCAGACTGTGGTTTGTGGAAAGCTAAAAACATAAATGGTTCGCCTTTTAAAGTCAGCTGTTGGACATTACAAATTTTTATGCATTGCAATTTGAAAAACTTTTGTGGGTCGCTGAAGCGTTTGTCATCCGGAGTTAAAATATACCCACTATAAATATGTGTGTAGTATCGGCCCTCGCAAAGTTTTGATTTATTTGCGCCGGTCTTCATGCATTTTAATTGTATTTGTTTTGTCAAATGGTTTATTTAATTGCCCCCGAAGCGATTCGTTTGAAATTCGAAATGCAAATTTGATTGGGCTTGGATATGCCCGATCAACCGTGATCTATGGCCATATGCCCTTGCCCTCTTGAAATACAAACAATTATCTGGTATTATTTGTGGATACCTACTCGAAATAACATGTGTTTGATTAACAAAAGTTCTTAAGTTTGGCAGAAAAATTTATACGTACAAAATATTGAATTAGTCTTAAACGAAACATATCTACAAAAAATTGTAAAGAGAGTACAATTAGAATACATATGGTGGGAAAGCTTTTATATATATATTTAGAATAAATGAAGTAAATCTTTCTCTGTACTAGCTGACCCATATCTTTAGTTTTTCCCTTTCACTCGTTACATCCTCTTTTATTCATTTTATTTGTTCTGAAGCCTCGGAATTCGTTTCCTTCGATAAGAAGTCGGCTAAAGATGAAAGACAGACAATGATCTTAGCATTCTTCTGCCTCGGAAATAATAATGGGTAATTAATATAATTTATACACACATGTCTAAAACATATGTATACATATATTTGGACATATGTGTACTTAATACCGATAAAGCTTGTCGGTCGCTTCCCATATTTGTATTGGCCCACCTAACGAAACTATCGAATTGCCATAAATTTTGCCATATCTTTTTGGCTTTTAGAAATTACTGCTCATCGAGCAGTCTATTCACGTAGAAATAATGACAGCCGATTCCGACTCTGATTCCAACTAATTTGGTTTCGAGGCGCTGCGCATGCGCCAAAACCAAAAACTAAATAGTGGAGAATGAAATTAAATTTAGGAAGGAGGGAAAATAAAGAAATTAACTGAATATTTGAGTATTATAAAGAAGAAAGGAAAAAACAAATATTGGTAAGAGATTACTAAATACAAATAAATATTTTACAAATATTTTGTTGGCTTCCAAGAACTATTTACTAAACTAAATTGTAATTAAGTTATTATCCTGGCCCAATGGCCACTACCAACACGTCACCTGTCGTTCGGTTCCTGCCAATCCCTAAGTGCAAATAGCAATCAATAAAAGTGAAGGGGAAAAAGGAAATAATTCTGTTCTGGGTATTTAATTTGGGCTGGTCATGGCATGTCAGCTCTATTTTGGTTTCATGTGCCATTTTTCGTGGGCGCAGCGAGGAACAAGTGGATCGTAAACCCCAATTGCATTCCGAATGCCTCATAATTGTGGTTTGTTCTTTCGGCCCACCGACCATTTAATGAAAACGAAACGAAATTAAATGCAGTTGACCCAAAAATAGCGCGAATGCCTGCCTGCCAGGCCGTGCAACAGCAGCAACAACAACTGCGAAATCAGCAACAGAAAAGTATTATTAACCAGGAAAAACATGGGGAGCCGTAAAAAGTGCGCACAACATATAGGGCCATTCATTTGGCATGCAATTAATCAAAAGCCTTAAATTAATAGGCAGAAAAGTATGTACATAAATATTAAATATTTTTGAAAATGATAGTTTTCTAAAAACTGGAAAAAAAGGATGTGGCTTTGGTGTCCAGCTAATTTCCTGCATTATTTCTTACTATGATAATGCAATTTATATCATTTATTTTATATCACTAATGATAATGAGTGATGTAGAGAAAGATAAAATCAGTTTTAATCAATGACCATTTAATGAAATGTAGCTCTTCAAAATGATGCGTTGTGAAAAGCTGTGATAAACTTAACGCGTGCATTGAGGAGTCTAATTTTTAAGCACCCTGTTTTACGAGGGGCTTTCCCTCTTAAGCAAGTGTCGTCATCAGTTGAGCACATGAGGGTTAAGGGGGATTTCAGGGGTTAAAGAGGGTGCAGCGAGTGTGTGAGCTAGTGTGTGCGAGTGTACGAGTGGCGACGTCAACAATTACAAATGTAGCCCAGGTCAGGATTGGGGTGTAAAAGGTGCTGCTCTGTCCGATGTTTTTTTTTTAACTGCCAGCAATTAACCCAATTCCCGCGAGCAATGACTTTAACCCATGACTAGCCAACACCAGGCACCACCCACCGCCCAACACCCACTTTCGCCCACAAAACCCCGCGAACCACGCAAGCTTACAATCACAACATTCAATTATGGTTATGACCGAAACAACAAAAGGAAATCCACTCGCTCGATTGAGGAAAATGCATTTCCCGCTGCCCCTGGCTCTGCCGACGTCGCTGACAACGTTGACGCTTGTCTGACCCATTTTTATACGGGACACGCCCACCCATGAAACGGGGGGCGGTGGGTGGTGTCGGGTAGCCGAGCACACAAGCCACATCCTGCCATCAAAGTTGGCGATGACGACAGTGATATAGTTGTTGTTTTAGTTAATACAGTGAAGTTTCTCTAAAGCTAACTTTAGCTTAAAATAAAAAATAGCCTTTCAGTAATATTTTTTAAACTTAATTCAAATTGTGCTAATACTTTTTTTTCATTTGATTAAATTTTCAAATGGAGGATCAAAATCCAAAACGATTTCTTTTGGTACTATAATAGGTAAATAAATATGAGTTAAGCTTTTTGAAACACTTTCTATCTCTTAAGGTTCCTGCGGCAGTTGTTTATAAAGAAGTAGAACATTTTCAGGTTCTGTTATCCTGAAAATTATCGCGGCTTATTGTAGCCTTACTGTAGCTTTCGTTGCCGTTTGTCGATGACTGAGAATCGCTTGAGATTGTTGGTGGCTTGAATTTTCAGCTTTTATTTTCAGTTGGTGCTGAAGCCTGCTGGCGAAAACTGTTGCACATTTTCGAGCGCTCTGGTTGTTAACTGTTGCTTCTGTTTCCACTTTGCTTTCACCATCAGCTCCATCACATCGGGATCGGGATCGGCAGGAGCAGGTGCAGCAGCGGATGCCCACAAAATGGTGCACCACAGCAACGAGGATGCCATGAACAAGATTCCACTGAAGTCCGCCGGCGGACTGGACTCCGACGAGGAGAAGAATGGAGGGGAGCTCATGCAGGACACCGCCGCCGCCGAGGAGGCGCGACGCGAGCAGATGTGAGCATAAAAAGGACATTAGCCATAACATTAACGTTACAAGTGTCCTTGTGGTTTTGTGGTTTTGTGGTCGCGAGGAATGCGGGATCTGTTTACATAAAAATCGCATTCAACAAACTTCCTTCAAGTGGCCAAGACTGCTCTATCAGTTAGAACATCCTTATTCTGTTGATTTTATTTATTTCACTTGGATGTACAACTCTGCTAGTCAGAAATCAAAATAAATGTTTGAAAGACTTAAAATCTTTATTAAAATATCATCAACAGATTTGGTTTTTGATTTTTAAAAATGTTGTTTAAAATTAAAAGTTAATTAGATTGTTTGTTTCCACATATTATTTTATAAAATCATAAAAAATCATATTTTGTAACCAATTTATGTAAAGTCTAATTAGATTTCTTGAGAAAGTCCTGTTTTATGTTCTTTTTTTTTCTCTATAAGAATAAAAATATGCGATTGGTTCATAATGCCAAAATTAGAAAACCACCAAGAAACCACAACAGCAAGCGATAGAAAAAATGTAAAACAAACCACAAAATCCGAAAAAAACGAATAAATTTACTTACATACATATGTTATAGTTACAAGAAATATTCAACTTTTTGTTGTATGCTTATAATTTGGAAATTAACTTTTGCAGGCGTGTCAAAGTTTTGGCCTGGATGAAGAAGCTGACCATCGGGCTGATCTGTTTTATTGGCATTGCCCTGATCAGCTACGTGATCATTAGCCTGTGTTTCAGTGGTGAGTATGGGAAATCGGGCAAGGAATAAGGCCAACCGCATCCAGCTAACAATTCACTTATCCACTGCAAACTAATACACAACTCGTTGAGAAAGATATTGTATGTTAGATGTATTATATACCGCTCGACAGATGTTTGAACTTCTTGAACACCCACACCCGAAAAACAAAAAAAAAAGAACAAAATTAGCTTATTTACTGCATGTTTTCGATCCATCTTAACCAAGCACCTGGCATTTAATCTAGTTCAAAATAATTTCTTTTATTGTGGCACCAAAAAGTATTCACATGAACAAAACCCCAACCAAAAACTTTACACCCTAACTCACTAAACAACAACAACAACAACAACGAAGACTGGCCTAAATCGACGCCAAATAGAAACAGCACAACAACAACGACGACGACGACAACAACAACAACAACAACAGCAGCAATAATCACAGAGGAAACAACAACAACAGCAGCAGCAATCGCAACAGTAGCAACACAAGTTGCAATTGCAGCGGCAACAGAAATTGCAAGTAGCTCAGCACCGTCACCAGCAACAGCAACAACAACTGCACCATCAGCAACTGCAACAACAATTAGCACCACCACCACCAAAACAACAACAACAAGTACACCAAAACCACCAACAACAACAACAACAAGCAGAACAGAAAGCAATCCCAGCCCCACACTTAAACCATTTCATTTAACAGATGAGCAGCAGCAACAGGATACGGATGCGGAAACGGCAGCTGAGAGTATTGGTAACCTAAATCGGGGATCCTCGAACACGGCCAGCACTCCGGCGGAGGACGCCCTGCCCAATGTGGCCGCCTCCACGGCGGCAACCACGGCGGTACCACCCGCCTGGCTGGCGGATCAGATCAGGATCGATACCAGCGATCAGTTTGAGTCGGTACTCGGGGTCTACCAACATGGAGCAGTGAGTTCCGACAACCTCGAGTGCAGCAAGATTGGCAGGTAAGCCTTACTATTACGGATCGGGGTCACCACCTTTCTTCAGTGCATCATTTTGATTATGGTATGGATTATCTTCTTTATTTAGCAATTTTTCGTTCCATTTTTTAAACAACTTTAATCAATTTTAATCCCTTAAAACAAAATATTTATTTACTTAAGAATTAAACCATAAACACTTAGATAAATGTATATGATATCGGGATCCAATGGTCTACCAGGTTGAAATTGGTTTTAAATAGGTTCAATTATGACCCCAGAATTGGAGGTTTAAGTATAAAATGTATATGTATTATGTGGGCAAATTTTAATATATTAGTTTCACAGCATTTAAAACTTAATCCCCAAAATTCTAGAGGATTAGGTAGGTTTATGGGCCCAGAATTGCAGGTGTAGGTATAAAATTTATAGATATTTGAACTAGATATTAATAGATATATTTCTAAATATTTGTTTACTTACATACATAAATCTCTGCAGAGAACAGCATTTAAAACAAAGTGTGAGTGGCTCGTCTAAAACGTGTGATCCTTTCTTACAGCGGGATCCTTCAGAAGAATGGCAGTGCGGTGGACGCGGCGATCGCCGCTCTCCTCTGCAATGGACTGCTGACCCTGCAGAGCTTGGGCATCGGCGGTGGACACCTGATGAACGTTTACAACCGGGAGGAGCGGCACGCCACCTCCATCGATGCCCGCGAAGTGGCCCCGTATGCCGCCGAGCCGGAGATGTTCAACCAGGAGCCGGAAAAGTCCTTCAAGGGACCGCTGAGCATCGGTGTGCCCGGCGAGGTGATGGGCTACCATGTGGCCCACCAGAAGTTCGGAAACTTACCCTGGTCGGATCTGGTGGCGCCATCGCTGGAGCTCTGCGAGAAGGGATACCATGTGTCGCAGCACTTTGAGCGGGCTCTCCATAACGCCCTTCCCTTCATCAAGGAGCACGAGCAGTACCAGTGAGTCCTCGAATCGAATGGAGCCGATTAACATTCTAATTTTTAATTTGATCTATCTGCCCCAACAGGATCTATTTGAATGCGCAGACGGGCAAGCCGCATGTCGCCGGAACGGTGGTGAAGCCGCCCAAGAATCTCTGCAACACGTACAAGCTCCTCGCCGAGAATGGACCCTTGGACATGTACAATGGGACGGTGGCCAAGATGCTGGCGGAGGATCTGCAGGATGTTGGTAGTATCATTTCATCCGATGATCTCGAGTTCTACGAGGCCGATGTGATCGACTCAATCACCATGAGTTTGGGTGAGGATACCCTGTATGTGGTGCCTCCGGTCAGTTCCGGTTCGTTGGTGGCCCACGCATTGAGCATCCTGCAGGGCTATGAATTCTCGAAAAAGGATCTGGAAACGGAGGAGTTGAGGGCCCGCACCATCCATCGATTTGCCGAGGCCCTGAAGTTCGCCTTTGCCAAGCGCTCGGAACTGGGCGATATGCATTTCATCGATGCCCGAGAGCTGGTTAGCCAGCTGAACAGCCTGGAGTTTGGAAGCGAAAATCGGGCCAAGATCAACGACTCCCATGTCCTGGCCGATGCCCAGGCATATGGTGCCCATTTCGGCTCCAACGACGATCCCGATGGCACATCCCATCTGGTTGTTTTGGCTCCCAACGGAGATGCCGTTTCCGTGACCAGCTCCATTAATAGCTAGTGAGTGAATCGAATCAGATACAAATGTACTAGTAGAAGTATCCAACTTATAATATTAATATCAGAATGGAGTTCTCTTCCTTTTTTAGCTACTATTTGAAATAGAAGTGCCTACTTAAAATGTTTTTAAACAAATCGACTCCTGTCATTAGGAATAGTTTTCTTAGGTTCTTTATTCAATTAATTTATTTTCAATAGATTGGGTATATTCGTAAACCGTAAAGAATTGCTTAAATAAATAAAAAACGTTTTAAAATTCGTTTAAAGATTTATAGGATCACCTTTAATCAGTATCCGTTTACTGAAAATAAATAATTATATCAGTAGATCCAAAAGGTTAAATATTTATGCTTAAAGGATCTTATTTTGGAACCTTAAATATTCTTAAGTTCCTGAAGAAGCAAGCCATATTTTCAAAGTTTTCATAGATTGAGACAAACATAATTTTGAAAATGTTATTTATTCATTCTCATTCTTTCAGTTTTGGCTCTGGACTAATTGGAAGCCGTTCGGGCATTGTGCTGAACAACGGGATGAACGACTTTTCCGTGGCCAACAACTTCTTTGGGCTGCCGCAGTCGACGAGCAATGGGATTGAGGCCCACAAGCGGGCGATGTCCTCGCAGTCGCCGGTCCTGCTGGCGGACAGCCTGGGCAACATGCGGATGGTCCTCGGAGCAGCCGGCGGCAGTAAGATCATTTCGGCCGTGGTGGAGGTGATCGCCAATGTGCTGTGGTTCGGCGAGGATCTGCGGACGGCGATCAATGCACCGCGGTTCTACCACCAACTCCTGCCCGATGTCCTTGAGTACGAGGATGGTGGCTTTCCGGATTCGGTGCTAAAGCTGCTGGCCCAAAGGGGTCACACGTTGAAGGTCGTCTCCAGGCTCAAGGCCTCGGTGGTCACGGCCATTTCGAGGAATGCCACTGCCATCTATGCGAATGCCGATTATCGCAAGCGCGGTGGAGTTGCAGGATTCTAGGGTGTCTAAGGAGTCCACTCACTCATCCATCAATTCACTCACCTACACATCCATACGTCACACACACACACACCCAAACACACCGCACACGCACACATGCATGCATGCACTGCATTGAGATTAGAGCAGACCTGCTCGAAAAGAGAGCAATTTCCATGGAACGAGAGAGTAAAAGTGGGCAGTGAGAGAGAAAATTAGTGGGCAGGTCTGGTTTTAGAGAGTGGTGAAGAGCAGATCGATTCGCATCAAGTGAAAAGTATTTAAGCTAGCTATGTCTTTTTTACATACTATGTATATCGTACGTTATATAAATTTATATGCTACTACCTAACTACTACCTTATACAATAAAAATTAACAGAAAACCAAAAAAGTGATTTTTTAAAACCAAATTTTTTTTTTTTGGCATTTAGTGAACTTAGTCACTATAGTGAGTGTCTTACTATATTTTTAAGGCAACCAAAGGCCGCTAAAATGAAGCTGAATCGGACTATAATCGGACTTAAATCGTGACAGGAAAATATTAAATACTATGAAAAAACTGATTTTATAAATACAAGTTTTTTTTAAGTTTTTTTTACAAACAAGTTTTTTCTTAGCCGGTTTATAATACATATATCCTAAAACCTATTAATTATTTGGTTAGGTCTCACTTAAATATACAAATATTTGGACTTTCATAAATGTTTAAGCAAAATCTGATCTTACTACTTGAATTAATAAAATTACATACAAGTCGAGTAAATTAGACAGAAAAAATATAATTCCAGAGTCTACTTGCCTAAAAAGGATGCTGATAAATAATATTTTTACTTGTATTGTTGGAAATTTTGTACTCAAGGTTATAACCTCTTATACGATTAATCAAACGAATATAAATTTCTGGCTAATTTTACTGAAAGTCTAAAATTATAAAAGGCATACATAAATATGGGAGATTCTACTGTACATCCAGCATATTCCACTGCCTAGTATTGTGACTAATGGCATTTTGAAATTTTCTCTGGCATTTATTAGTTACTGTCAGAAATAATCTGGAAACTATCCTATATGTCTAGAATTAAGACTATTAATGGTATCCCCTCTAAATAACCGAATAAACCTTAAAGTATGCTTTGGATTTTTTTCCTGGTGGGTTTTTCTTTAGTTCCCCTAAAAGATGCAAAACATTTTTCTTAGATTTCAATAAACTTAATAGGAATTCTTTATTTCTGGAAAGCAACACTGAACGTTTTCCGACATTTGTTGGCAATCGACATCGCTATCGTTATGGCTATAATAATATGTGTAATCGTAATATACATAATTATATACAGGAGTTAAGCTAAGACTAAGACTAAGAGCTACCCTGTAGTTTTATAGTTTGATTCCCGCCCTGCATTGGCAATCAGTAAGTATATATATGTAAAAATATATATCTTTAAATGTTTGTATGGGCGCATCATGTGGTTTAGTTATTTCTTTTTCGGCTATATACAACTTTGGACTAGATGCTGTGTTTCAAAGAACTCTATGTACAATGCGAGCAAATTGATGGGCTCTACGAGTTAAAATACTTAGCTGCTTAAAATCAAAGTAAATACAATGCCATAATGCTTTGCCAAGCTACCAAAGTTTTGCCAAACTTTACAAATAGATAGATAAATGGCGGTATTCAGCTGTAAGTTTTTGGGAATTCTAAAACATTTCACAAGAGATGTTAGAATACCACTTATCGAAATCGTAGGTATAGATTTGTTTGCCTGTGGTTTTCAATCGGGTCAAGTACAGATATCCATTGCGCTGCCAATTGGGAAAAAATCTCTTATTCTCTCTCCTCCTTCCAAATCCTTCTCCATTTCCCTAGATGTGCAGCGTGGCCCCGGGTGGCGAGTTGGATCCCCCTGCTCCTGGCTTGGCGGAGGTCTGCGGCGGCTCCAGATCCTTGCACTGATCCATGTCTATAACCAGGCAGTCGTAGGCCGGCGGCGGCAGCTCGAACTTGACCACACTGTCGTAACTCGGCGGCAGTGAGTCCACAATACGCAGCACATCGTTCTGGGAGTTGATCTGGAAATCAAATGAGGATTAGTGTTGGTGTTGCCCAAACGGAGAGGTTTCAAAAAGTTAATTATAATAAACAAAAAAGTTTCCATTCTTCAATTAAATGCTACATTTATTCCAATTTAATATTTTCTTTAAAAAAATGTATGACTTATTTTTGATGAGGTATGCATGACTTTCAGTGCCTTAAATGATAAGCCACAAAAATAAATAATTTGAAAGTTTGGGATTTGGAAACATTTGTGAATATCTTTCTTGGTACTCACATTTGGTAGGGTTCCATTGGTGCTCCGATTTCCCGCCTCGTCGATGGGTCCCGCCCAAATGCAGACGCCCATGCGGTGCGTGACATATCCGCAGATGATCACGCTGATCACCAGCATTCCGATGCCCAGGGCGAAGACCAGCCAGCGGGACTCCTCGCTAGTGTCCCTGAGGTTCTTCTCCAGCTGGAGGGCGCAGAGGATCAGCACGGGCACGGCCACCATGGCCACCAGGAGGTCCACGATGGGGCGCTGGGTGCTGGGCCCGGCGTTCAGAGGACTCCTCCCGGATCCCGATCCGTTGGCCGATCCTCCCAGCGAATGGGAGCCAAAGTTCTGGCTGCTGCTGTTCGGCGTCAAAGTGGAGCGAGCCACCACTGTGTTGTGGTTCTGTAGCACCATTCTGCAAGACAAGAGCAAAGTTGAGGGTTACACAGGAAAAAATCATAGGAATTGCTCCGAATCACCACTATATACCAAAAAATAAAATCGTTTAAAAAATGGCCAAACAAATAACAAGCCTAACATTTTAAGAATAATGATAAAAGAGATGAACCTAGGCACTTATATTTATTTATATTTAAATTACGTCGATTTAAGGAAATCATTATCTAAAACCCGCATTTAACTAATTTCTTCAATTATTTTTTTCATTAAAATTCGATCAATTCGATTTTTATATTTATTTATTTTTATAACATTTAATAATATAGAAAATCATCATTAAATGCTTAGCAGTTTAAGGAATAGGCTCAACTTACTTTGTAATTTTAAGGGAATTTACTTAAGTTAATTCAACTTAATTTGATGAAGGCTATTCTGAGAACATCTGATATTATTATGTCTTTTTTTCTCCGTGTGGAGCCTGGCGGTTCATGTTTATTCGATGGGAATAGCGGATAATTGGTGGTTCTCAATTGTTAATCCCCAATGAATAGGCATGAGAGTTTTGCAGTGGAAGCTGTTCCGATCGCTAACTGTAATCGCTGAGCTAACCAGACAATGGGCTATTATATCCAGCATACGATTAGCTCTGAGCCAATTTCATAATTTTTATAAGAATCCATCCAGTTGGATTACCAGACTTCAATGTTGCCAAATGCCTTATAAGTCTAATTGTCACTTTCATTTCCAAACGATTAGTAGTCAGGAAGTGGAAATTATTAAGCATAAAACTGAATTTAATTTTGCAATTTTCATTGAAGTTTTTGACTAGATTGTATAAATGTATCATAAAAGTAATAGATTCTTACGTTTTCCACAACTCTATGAGTATATGCAAATCTTACTCGAACGAACACTTTCTTGCTTAATTGCTGTTTTCGATTTGTTTGGCAAATATTTTCCGTGGATCGCATTGGGTTAATAATAAAATAAACATTTGATAAACGCCCCTCCCTTGCCAATAAAATCAACTGCGTCACTGAGGCGCAGACGGTGAAAACCAAATATTTGCTAAGCATTTCTCGTTTGGAGTCCAATTAACATTGGTTAGCATTCAATTACCGGGCAAGATGTATCATATTCCAATGCCTATATGTGTTCGCCTGTGATTGTGATTGGGATTGTGGTCTATATATCTATATATCTATATATGGCGAATACTACTCGTACCTGGGATCAAAGGCGTTGCTCAGCAACAAGTCGTATACGGCCCGCATTTCGATATATATCGCTCTTTCTCCGATTCTCGCCTTCTCTTTTTTGTTTTTATTGATATCAATTGGTTAGTTTATTATTGTCTATATATTGTTGTTGCTAGCATATTTATTCAATGATTTGAGTGTGACATAGGAGCTAAGTTTTTGTTGCAGTCTTTGATTTTGCAGCCATCGTCTGACATTTTTTGTTGAGGGTGGAAATTAATGATTAAGAAATGAATAAACAATGTTTTCAATTAAAAAGTTTACAAAACATCTATTTAAAAACAAAAAGTATCAAATTTTAACTCTTTATAAATATATTAAATGTGCAAATAAATTAACGGCAATAAAAACCAAAGGGTTAACAATTGTTTAACTTTTATTAATTACTTTAACACATTGTTGTATAATTTGTTTAAAACATTACAGAACCTCATCTACCCTCAAACAACTAATGAATATTCTGAATTTTTCTTGACTGGAAATTAATATTATTTAATTCGTTTGCTTCTTGTTTGTATTTAATCATTGAATTAACAAAAACCGGCTGTTAACATTTAATTTATATTTATTTGTTTCCCTTTTTTTCTTTATTTAGTTTGTAATTTATGTGCATTTTATTTGTGATGTTGTTGTGAGAGGAGAACTTTATGGTTGTGTTTTTTGCACACCGAACTTTGATAAGGGCGATAATCAAGATGAAGTGGGATTGCCTCCCCACAGGGCGTATACTTGATTTGCTAAACTAGGTGCGATAATTCATTAAAGATCACTCTTATCAATATGCCAACTTCAAGGGGGAAATCCAGTTGACTTGAGCGATAAGGGCGGCACGTGATTATTTGTCGTTCTTACACATTTATTTGTTTCAATAATAGCATATTATTTGCACATTCGTTACCAAGGCGTCTGTCAATTAACACTTTAGCATTGGACTTGACTTGGCAGAAATAAATAAAATAAAATGAAAAAAAAAGAGAAAGAAAGAAAACACAAGGCACAATGGGAATTAAAGCCAGCTTGGTCAGGCTGAAACCGATTCGTGGCGATCTGGGCCGGTCAAATGTTGAAATCGGACTGGAAAAGCGTCCCGCATATAGCATAATCGGAGTATGCTGTCAGCTGAGAGCCTCTAATCTGCAATTGATGGACTTTGGACATACCCTTGCAATTGGAAAAACTAAAACCCAAGCAGTAAATAAATAAATCCCACTCTTGACAAACTGACTTTCTAAAAATGTCAAACTTTTTTTATCCCTGTTACTAATCTTATTTACAATTGGCAAACTCACTTTTACCATTAACTAGTCTAAAACTTTATGTAACCCTATACCGGCAATTAGTTCACTTTCACTGATCGTTAACTGTATATTAACATAACTTGCTATAAGTTTACTTTTACTGTTCGTTAAATTGTAAAGTATAAAAACATACAAGTAATATTTTTTATTAAGTTATTGAATTAAAATTAACCACATAAATGTTGGATAATTGTGCTAGTACAAGTTTTTTTACTACTTTATCAATTTTGCAACCTAGACTCCATAAAAGGAAATACCTACTTCAATGCTATTATATGTAGTTTATAAATAACTTTAATTAAAATCAATCGTTTTAACTTATAAATATACCCACATACCTTGTACACATCAAGGGATAGTAATACACGAACATTTGATTGCATTTCAAGACTGAAAAGCTAAGCAGAAAAATCAGCTTTTTGTCAATTCGAGGCGAAATATACACAAAGGGAGTGAAGAGGTGGTAATTGCCCAAGAAAATAATGATAGCAGGCAAGTTAATAAGGTTCTTGTCATACGGCTTTATCTAGAAACCGGTTGCAAGCCATTGCTCCTTTGATATTCTGAACTTTATCTGAAAGTTGTCTGAACTCTGAAAGAGATACCAGCGACCAGATAGCGTGGCGACAAGTCTTGATTAACGCTGAAATACTTAAGATCTCTGCACAAGGGAATGCGGCAAATTTTCAGAGGGGAAAGCCTCGCCGATCAGACAATGGAAATTTGCAATTATAATTTGTACTGCGTCTGGTGAATGAATTGTCGAGACCTCGTCGGTTACAATAGATATACTTAATTGCAGTCCATATAGATTCAGATACAGATGCATCATATGACAAATGCAAATATGATATATACATATACGTAAGTGCGGAGGAGATCCATTATCAGTCCTTTACTGATAAGACAACGCCCCGACTTTACTCAAATAAAAACCGGTTGTAAAGAGTTTGTCATTGATTGTCCTCGTTTTCTCTACCGTTTCCCCGAGGCCTCATTTGAATGATTTAGTGCTGTTGTTAATTTATAAAGTTTGTTTTCTGGGTGAGGACCTAATTTGGGACGACTCTGACACTGATTTGCGTAAGAAATTGGGGCGCATTAACCTTTTTCCATGTTTTTCGTCGTTATTTTCTTTCGAATTTTTTTTAGCGTAACTGTCTGCATCCTCGAAATCATTCAATAAACTTATTTAAAGTCTAATCTGTATTTAATTTTTAAAACAAGTTTTGCGCCCTATAAAAAGTTGTAAGTTTAATAAGTACCTTCCAGGTACGAAATATATTTTATTAAGGTATTATTATTAAAACAATATATGCAAAATATTTGTATTATAAAATACCTAGTTACTATTGAAAAAAATAACAATAATAATTGAGAAATCTACAGTTAATATTGATTGTTTGGAGTACCTACTTGTAGAATCTCCCAACAGATGCAACTTTAAGATACAAGTCAATCTTTTGCAGTATACTTCCGTATTAAATATCTACATATTTCCGGCCCAGGGATGATATGCGTAGTAATACGTGACGTGATCTGAATTTGAAATATTTTTCGCATATTTCCATTCACAAATTGCACCAGCATCAGGGTGAAAATCGTATCGAGTCATTGACCAGACGTGGAAAGGCCTGAAAGGCACATTTAAAGGCACGTTAAATCTGTGAAATGTGCATATGTATGTACATATATCTCTTGACCAGTTGCATGTGCACATTGTCAGCTGACTGGCGGAATAAATACGATTGCCTAAAAACACAAATTAGCTGCCAGCGACGCCCACAAATACTGGGAAAATCGAAAGGAAAGCTAGCAAGAAAAGCTGGCAAATAGAAAAGGGGCAGTCGTGGGTAGAACTAGACAGATAGAGTATAAATAAAACCCCAGCAATTACAGTACCGGCTGAGCTTGACTTTGAAAAGAGAGACTTTGATCGCGAGTCGAGCGTCAGCAGTGGCCCAGAAACCCAATTGGAGTACAAATCAGCCAAGTGCAGAGATCACCAGAACATTTATCGGTTCTACACATGTGCATATACTATATATGCGACATATCGAATTTCTGATGACTCGACTTCAGTTTTTATTTTTTTAGAGGGAGCTGCATTTCTGCTTCCCGCTAAATTTGCATTTAGGGGTTTACGGTTCTTTTTTTTTTGCTTTAGACCTTCGCATTTCTTTATTTTCATTTCGGATCTCCAGTTGGCCAGATTTACAAAGAATTAGCCAAGCCACAAAAACAATAACAAGGCCGTAAAAGTATATGATTCTCAGTAGATGAGTGAATTTCCCTATTTGTTTTCTGGAGCACATGCGTCATATATACCATATGATTCAGCCGTGCCCGAGATACTCCTACAGTCTATATGTACATATATCCAGTTTTGCCGGGTTTGCTGTTGGCCTGGAATCTTTTGGGGCTTATCAACTCCCGATAAGGCAATGCAGCTTAAGAGCGCCACAAAATATATAGATGTAGTAATAGTACTGTGTACTCAGTGGGGAATTTTTTACCGAGTGGTTATCGCCCAGATTTCCCATTAGTTGCCAGGGAAAATGATTTATTGTTGGTTGCAAACAGAAAATGCACTTTATAGGGGGAGATTTTTATCGGAATTCAATTCCAATGCTAGATCCAAGGGTTCCATGTTTATATGAGTTCCTCGGATTTTAATGAATTTCCGTAGCTTATTTCAAACAAAAATTCCACATAAATAAACAATTACAAGCATTTGCTTATTACTTCTTGGGTGAATAGACAATTTTGAGTTTTGAAGGTGCCCTTTGCCGCATTTAGTAATATATTGGTTATTTTTGGATTCCAAAAAAATATATACAACTATTAAAATCCTTAAGTTAACTTTTTAAAAGTGTATTTTCTAGGTAAAATGTGAAATGTCCTCTACATAAATGTAAAATAACTAACTTTAAAGATTAGATTTTCTGTGGAATTTCCAACTCTTGAAAAATACTTTACATTTATTACCGAAGTTTCCCTTGTAGCCCAGAACAATGCACAATTTAATTAAAATTCCTTGGACGTAATTTCCGACCTCCCTCACCATTATCCGATGTGTGGCAATCTATACGGCACAAACAAACACAACAACGTAGCACAACAATTTCCTTAATTGCCGCGACAAGAAAATCATAAAAACTAAAGCAGAAGAAGAAAAACTTGACGAAACTGACGCCCACAAAACTGAGGCACCAATTCTTGGGAATTGTCTGGCCCACTTTGCAAGGGAGTCTGAATCGGATATATCAGACGCAGCACAGCAGCGGGCAATTAAATAGAAATTAATATTCTTATAACGATTATTGGTATTTCGGTTTTCAATTAAAAGCCTATCCAGTCTTGTTATATTTAATTTATACCTATTTAGTATTGATCAAATGTTTATGATTAAATAATTTATATTTAGTCGCATTGGAATTATGTTATATAATTTAATTTGGAAAGGTATTTAAATTGGTGTTTAAAGTAAAAAATAATTCAAATAATTTTAAGCTTTACAATACACTAGTTCGGTTAAAAGACCTTGATATCTTTATGCTGATATTATTATGCTTTAAAGTAGACGTCTTAAAGTAGATGTCTTAAAGGGATTGGATATATATTTGTTATTTTACTAGTACTATTATATTAACCGCCACTGTGGGCATGTGTGCATCTATATCTTTAAATGCTTTACATGAACCAGAAACAAATGGAAAGATGACGATGCCATGGGGAGGCATTATTAATGTATTAATTGATCGGATCTCCGAGTGTCGCTTAATTTTCACAAGGGGGAGAATTTGTTTGTCGATGCTTTTTGATTGACTGAATGGCGGGGGGGGCTTCGTATCGGGGTTCGCGACCCCCTGTGAAGTGAAAGCTTCCCCGAAAAAGATTCCCCACTTCTTCAGTTCTGTACTTCTCTATTTCCTGTTTGGTCACGTAGTCAAGTTCTTGACAATAATTGGTGGCCATTCGTATATAGGAATAAAAGTGCCTCTGTTCGCTCTGCTAGTTCATCTTTAATGCTTTTTCTTTTTTTTTATGATTTTTTTCTCATGCTGGACTGCGCAAGAAGTGTGTATATACAACGATACTATATATAGAAACTAATGAGGAAAAAAAATTAAATTTTTTTGCCTGCTATCAATAAATTTTATTTATCTGTTTTTGCTCTTGACGGTTCTTTTCGTTTTTATGAAACAAAAACACTGGGAATTGTGGAAGCATTTTTTGTTTACTTTGTTTCTCGAGGGGATTTCGAAATATTGCCTTGTTCCATTCCTGATAAGCGATAAAAAATGAAAACACCTGTTTTCCAAGCGAGACGATAGTTCAAACTTTTGCCAAATTACATGGCCCACATAAAGGAAAAAGAGAAGAGAAATACAAATATGCACATCAGTTTTTCTTCCCATCCCTTTCGCTCCTTAGGCTTTTCCCATTTTGTGCAATTTATTTATAGCCTTAGAAATAGGGGGGATTTGGGGGGTAACTTGGGATAAACATGTTTGTCGGCATTTCTTACACTCGTGAAAATGGATAAAGCTTAATACCAAATAATAAAATGTGACATTGACTTGAAAAAAAAAAAATTTGTGTTTTCATAAAAATAAACTGTAAGCTAAAGTAAACCCGAATTACAGGATGAAAATAGTAAAAAAATGTCGTATTATTTGTGATAATGATATTCAAAACCTTTTTATAACATAAAACGTTTCTTAATAATCAAGGTTTACAATACATAACCCTAAATTTTTATACTTTATTAAGGACGGTTAGATTGTCCTGAGTATTAAATTAATATTTTTTCTCTGTGTACTCACTCGAAAATGTTTTTTGGCCGCTGCTGATTTTTCTCTCTGTTTTCTGTCTCACGCACTCTTTCTCTTCGTTTTGGGTTTGCAATTCTTCACATTTGAGAAACACCAAAAACCAAACAATAAAAAAATACAAACAAAAAGCACACAAATTTGTTTTTCTTCTATTGAATATTAAGCACGCGCTTCAATTGTTTTTCGTACGTTTTTTTTTTGTTTATATTTTGATTATTTTTGTTTTGTTATATTTTGATTATTTTGCGGTTGCAAATGAGATCGATGGCACAAGTAATTGCAGAAAGTTGAATGGACTTCTTTGGGGTAAAGACGACTTGTATTTATCGGTGCTGGCTTTGGGTGTACTCGTAGTGCTCCTTTCTGAAGTTTGGATCCTCGCCGCTCTCACAGAAAATCCAGCGCCTGTGCACCATTACAACAAATCGTGGTTCGATATCTTCTTCCCCACGCAGGATACTCCGCCCTCGATTCTTTTGTTTTTGTCCACTTCACTGAACTTTGGAACGGTGAAACACAACGAGATGCTACGGACGGACGACCGGTCTACGAGCAGGAACTGCGTTTCATATACACATCTCGATCTCGATCTCGGGGTATATAGAAATGGATTTTTGTTATTTTCAGTTTTTTTCTGTCTTCTGTGTTCTGTATTCTGTCTTCCGTTCCCCTGTTCTGCGGTCTTTATTCGGTCTTTATTTTCTGATATGTTCGGGTCTGAACTGAAAGTCGAACCAGAGGCCAAGAATGCTGAGAAGCAACTGCCAGATCGACGTAGCTGCTGGCAGTGCCTCGCTTTCCTCTGTCGACGTCGACGTTGGCGCAGCTACTCTTGTTGTTTTTGGGGCTGGTGCTGGCGAAGATGCTCTCAGCTCTCCACTCTCCGGGCTCCAGTCTCCGGTCTCCATTTTCCGCAGTAGAGATGCTGTTCCCTGTGGTCACTGTCCACCAAAAAAGAGCTCAACTCTACTACAATTTTTCTAATAAAAAACTTAATATTATTTTTTACTTCTTTAAATTAGAATTTTGAATTATAGTTCATTACATAAAACATAATCATTAGTTCTCGTTTTATGTGTACGGAAGACTGAACGTTTATACTTTGAGTGTATACTTCTTGAAAATCCCTTAACGTTTTTAGGTGTTGTTTTTCGCTGCCTTCTGAGCAATCCAATTACTCTTGCATATAATCCTGAAGGTTTCGGGTTTTGCTCTTTTTTTTCTCTTAATTTTTTTTTTTGCATTCCTGAAAAATATATTAATAGCTGATAAAATTCTGTTAGAGATTGCTGCAACTGCATCACTGATTTGAAAATGTATAAAACAAAGCAATTGTTTTAGTTGTAATATCCTTGATCTGATCCTGCGAAGATCACTGAAAAAAATCACAGAACGAGTCACTTACATATAAGCAGCATCTCTATGGGGGATATCTATGAAACTAGTTTTGCTCTCTTCCTCTCGCACAGTCTAGGTCACCGATTATCATCGGCATCGGGCGAAGTGTGGATCGTGACGCGAGCCGAAGACTGCCCTCGCAATTCTACACAATTCTTTGCTCTCCTGCTCTTTTTTTTCTGGTGTTCGCTCGCTCGCTCTTTCACGGGAGCCTGGTGATAAGAGATGCCGTTATCGTTATCTGATTGCCAATGTGACACATTGAGGCGACGACGGGCCAACGCCTGTTGTTGTTGTCCTAGCTTTACGATCTGCACACGCACACACGAACGCAATGATAAGAAGACACCTCTTCTGTCTTCGGTCTTTGGTCTTCTGCACTCTTATCTTCCCACTCCTTAATCTTTATCCCCACATTCTCCACGCGGCAAGTGGTGAAATTTGCACTTACTGGTATTTATTTGTGTCTTTTTTTGGATAGTGGGCTCCGAGAAAAGTTTATAGGACTTATTTTAATCGTGGGCTTGGGTTTACAATCTTAGCGGGGATCTAGGTTTCAGGAATGGAATTAGATCCAAAAGATGATTAAGGGTTTAGTGAAGAAAATAAATAAACATTCATTAGCAGTTCATGCTACTATCATGTTTGTGAGACGCAAAAAAATGCCATAAAAGAGTTAAAGCTATGCAAATAAAGAATTCACTATGCGTGTGCTCTATTTGTATAGTTCCATTGAAAAATGTGTAGATTGTAGTTTTTTATATTAAAAAGAGATTTAAATGGAACTTGTTGACTTTACAAATTGTGTAAAAACTCATTAAACTTCTAATTAACCGTTTTAATGAATATAATCAAGGTAAAAATAAATAATACCATCAAAGTTTTAAGTAAGGCTTTTTTCTTTCTGGTTTTATTTACTTGCAATGTTTGTTTTAGAATGTTTTAGAATAGCTTAAGCGTTTGCTATAGGAAGCTTCGCTGTACCTTACCTTTTCCGTTATCAGGCTAATTTTTTTTGATCTGTCAAACTTGAACAATAAAACGCGATTGCGTCATCCAAATATTGTTTTGTGTAGTATTGTATGCGTACTCGTGATCGGTGGAATTAAAATAAATGTGGGTCAATGGATTATCAATGCCCCGAATGAGGCGTCAAATAGACAAGTACCTATGGACACCCTGGAGGGGGGAGATGTTGCAGGATGGTGGACCGTTACCGTATAGACATATAGACAAATAGATAGTTCGATGAACACATGGTCAGTGCAATGACTCGCGATCGCCACTCTTTTCCAGGTACGCAGAACGGAGAAACCTGGGAATAGAGAGGGGGATAGTCCCATTTAAGGTTTTATAGTAAAAACGTGATCGGCCTCCTCTAGACATACCACCCCCCTCCCATCACATAGCATCCCCTTTGGCAAAAACTTGTGCAAAATGCTGGTCACGTCCCATGCTTCTGTATCTGTATCCGTACCTGCATCTGTACCAGAACAGCCATTCGTATCTGTATCTTGACTTGGCCAAAAAGCCCTGCCAAAGCAAATTAGATAAGTTGTCGCTTCCCCCGATAAACTTGGCCATATTCCGGGAGACAAATTGATAACGGGGCAGCCAAGCTTTATTGCCGCTCTGCGGGACGGGAAGTCGTTGTTGCTTAGGCTTATCGCAAGACCTCGCTGGTAAAAATAAAAATTAACCAAAAACCAAAAAAAAAACTAAGTAAACAACAGTTAGGCGGGGCAGAACGTGGGTGGCTTGGGTTTGGCAGATCCCAACGGATACTTTGATTTCAGTTTTGGGGCTATTAGACGTTTTCAACAGAACTACCTACTTTTATAACTACTCAGGAAAATTTCCTACTTTAAGTGACAAAAAATTACCTTGACATATTAATCATGTAAGTTTATTGGGAATTTTCCATTTTAAAAGTTTTTTTTTCCCGATTTATCATGAAAAATGTAGCTGAAGTTATTTGGGTGATTAAGAAGCAAACTGTGTTACTCATAAAATACATTAACTCATTGGATTTATATGGTATTATGATAAGTTTGTTTTAACGTACTTTCGATTAGCCAAATCCTGAAAAAATCAATTTGATTTTGCGGTTTTGCTGGAAAAATCAGCTCGATTTTCCTGTTTTTTAATTAAAAACCTGGGAATTAGTGGTCGAATGTTGGAATCTCATACGTCATTAAATTCGTTATAAAATTTTCAATCAAGTTGTATCCTAAGAAACGAAAGACCCTTAAAAATGTTTTTATCGCAAAAAGCCACAAATAAAACGCATTCGTTCTGTTTTGAAGTTTGTGTTTTTGTTAGTTTGTGTCACAATTTAATTAATTTATTTTATACTTTAGTTTTTGTTGCTTAAATTGCACTTTTATTTATTTACTTCGGTTTTTTGTTTTTCTTGCTGAACAATTTACAATAAACGCGGCCACTTTTTGTGTTTTTGTAGTTTTTCTTGCTTGCAGTTGTTGTAGTTTATTTAATAGTTATTGTTTTTGTTGTTGTTTTTCATTTTATTTTTTGCTGATGGCTAAACCTAAAAAGTTTTTGCTGTTGTTAGTTGTGTACACGTACATATATCGAATATTTTTTTGATTATTTGATTTAATTAGTTTCTCCAAATCAAGTGGAAACTTGTCTCTTCTAACCATTAGTTACCCATCGATTTTGTTTAGAGTTTTTATAGTTTCCGCTACATTTAATGGTTATTTTCTTAGGTGGGGGCGTTGGAACAGTTAAAGGGGGGAAAACAGTTGGCCAACAGTTCCTATATGTATATATATGTAATTATATATAATCTGGCAAACGATAACAGTGGAAAGCCAAAGGACTATGTGTGTGAGACGGGGGTTTCCCTGTTTCTTCTAGTTTTAGCTTTGGCTATTTTGAAATCGATTTAAATTTGTCACTACCAACACACAGACGCACATCGAGATATATGGTTTATATCGTAATTTATAATTATTAGTTTTACCTTTTAAGTTTATCTTTACTTTTACTTTTACTTTTACTGAATTCTGTATACTTTATATTGTATAGTTATAGTTATTATTTGCTTGTTAATTTGTAGACACCATTTACAATTACGATTACAGTTACAGTAAGATAGACACACACAATGCGATCCTAATTAAATACATTTAATACGCCTCCGACTTATGCATCCATTGTATTTTTTAGCCCAAAAGAAGGCAGCATGAGTGCATGAGTGTGTTGTGTGTGCGTGCAAATTACATCTGTAAATATAGTTCCAAGTTCCAAGTTCCTTAGTTTATCTAAGTCTAATTGCTATTCCGAAAGATCCTAGGATCAGTTTGATGTTTTACATTAATATATAGCTGCGCTCACTATAATACAGTTGCGGTCAAAACTATAGTAGTATGACATATTTTAGAGAAAGATAATATTTAAATCAACATATCCCCTGGCAGAGTTGTCTATTTACAGTGAAAATTAAATTATACGTATAAATACGTTGATCTATCAATTTGTATTTTATTTCCCATTGCATTGTTTTTTTTAAATTATATTTTTGAGCCAAGTTGCTAGTATGTTCAAAAACAATCATGGTGAATAGATTTTTAGTTTTTAAGCATTAATATTTTGTTCATTTTGTCAACTCCGATTACATAGTGATTTTTTTTATTTTATCACAAACTTACAGATGATTGCTTTCAAAAGTTTTAATTTTTTTTTATTTTGTATCTTAAAGTTTGTTTTGGTGGCACTTATTGAAATGTTTTCTTCAGGCCTTACTGCTATGGTTTTGACCGCAGCTGTATTAGTAATATTTTTCGAGGTTTACCCCGTTCGTCCAATCCGAAAATGTTTTGGGAGAGATTTTCGAGGGAACCAAGTTCGTTGGGGCTGTCACGTCTCCCCAGTTTTTTTTAGCCCCTTTATTTGTTTGTAAAGCTCACTTGTTTTTGTCTTTTGATCTAACTTCCTATAAGCTATCACACTATCTATCCTACTCACTCCCCTCTCGCCCACCCGAACTTGGCTCTCGCACTCTCGTTTTCGACCTTCCACACATAATGCTATTAATTTAATGCCTATTATTAACATAATTTATTCTAAACATTTACTAGAAAAAAAAAACGCATTTGCCCTCTCCCTTGCTCATACACAAAAGCGCGCACAGTGAGCGACAAAAAAATATTATTTTTCGATTAAAATCTTTGTTATCATTTTTCTGGCGCCTTAACGATATGTGAGTGTGTGTGTGGGGGTATGCAAAACACCGTGCGTGTGTGTGTGTGTGTGAGAAAGAGAGAGTGAGCGAAGGATTTTTGAAAAGAGACACCAAGTAACGGTGATAAAGGAACTTAAGTCAACAATTTGTTCACATTTTTCAGATGGGTTTTATGGGAGGATCGTTCGTGCTAATCGCCTGAAAAGCTGAATGCTATGTCACACGCTGACAAAAGCTGCCTGTCATGTTTAGTTTTTAATTTTAGATTTACGTAAGAATTTCGTCTTCTTTTTCAATTTTTAAGCTAATTCTCTTAATTTGAATACTCCTCTTAAGGTCGTGGATTTTCTGCATTTGCGTGTTTTGGTGTTTTTCGGTTACAGTTTGACATTTACTAGTGGTTTTCTTGAGTTTTTCTTCATATTTTCTTGGTGTCTTCGATTACAATTGATTTGCTTTTCGGTTAATAATTAATAATTCGTATTTGCTTGTATTTTATGAGTATGAGAATAAGGTCTCGGCGGTTGTTGGTGTTGTGTTTCGACTTCAACTTTTCGTTTTCGGTTATTTAAATACATAAATTCAGGATGGCCTATTAGAAAATCGCAAGAGAGTTTAAAACAATTATAGAGGTCCCAAAATAGGCTAAATCTTTTAAAATTTTGAAATTTTTTCTTCTTTTTTCAATGTCAAGTTTAGATAATGGCTGGCGAATTTCAAGATATTTTTTAACGGTGGCGGAATTAGTTCCCTAGTTATGAATCAATGCCTACTTTTGATTAATTGTTTTAAAATCTCCGTCGATTTGGACAAACCTCCAGTATTCGTTATTTTGTAGTTCCCATTCAAGCCTTTGGCAGTTTTTTATTTTCATCTTAAGTGGTGTTTCCTTTTCGTCTGATTAAGAGGGAGACAGCTAGAGAACGACAGGGCTGCTATGGGGATTTAGTGGTAGAAAGGGGGGAGTGGGGGAGGGGGGCGGGGGACGGGGCACTTTGAGGTAACGCATAATCAATCAACAAACAATCAATCAATCAATCAAACATCGGTGAGTAAACACAGTGGCAGAGAACTGAGTAAGTAACAACGCTTAAGTACACACAAATTAGGCATACACTATGAGTACTGGGCCTACAGAGTACATGTGGTAATTCCCCGCTCCTAGCCAACTGCGATGACGGGGAATCCCCGCAGCGTATCTCAACGTTTCACCCCAAACAGATTCGGTATCGACTTGATCTTCTTGCGCGAGCAGTTCAGGTAGTCCTTGTACATGTCGGATCGCAGATACCGCGAGTACGAGTCGCTCTTCATCAGGTGGTACACGTGGGAGGCTGCCACGTCGAAGCACCACCGATTGGGGCCACTGGGCGAACTGACCGCCTCGCGGGCCAGCTCCACCGACTTCGAGTCCACGTTCACCGGACAGGGCGCCTCGGGGGCCAGGAACTCCTGCCAGATCTTCTGGATCGCCTCCTTGATCTCCGACTGCGGCAGCGCCTTCATCTCCTGCACCGACTCCCAGAATCTGAAAAGGGTTGCAGAGGTATTCATTAGCCGGATGATAAAATATTCTCATCTACTTAATAAACACAGAGATTGTACGGGCTCTAGTTTACAAATAAATAATATTAAAAAAAAAAAATAATAATAAATAAACACAGAAAAGTATGCTATAAAATTTGACGCTTTAGTTGCTAGAACAGGGAAAAAACACGTTAAAAATAAGATAAAACACTTTAAAAAATATAAGTACAAAAAAAAGTGTAAGTAAAGTAAAACGCCTTTACTTTTAAAAATGTTTTAGCCCAGCTGTGGCACCAAAAATTTTTGCTAGTTGTCTCTGTGTATAAAATAGTTGTCTCAGTTATTATGTCTGATATATAATCACAATTGTATCAGTAAAATACAAGTGAATTAGTAAGATTAAAACATCATTGATCTTATTAAAATACAAGTGAATTATACAAGGGAATTAGTAAAATACAAGTGAATTAGTAAGATTTTAATACATGATAAACCATTTTAAAGGCAAACGTATATGTATACTAAAATGATCTAATTTCATTAAGCATTTGTTTTTATTTTGAAGTTATTCTGTTTATTTTCCGCCTTTGTAAGCTGGCAAAAGGAATTGGTAACTGATGAGGTAAAGCCTAACCAATTATGTTGTAAAGAGTCTCTCTCTCTCTCTTTTTCTTTAGCCTTATTTTTAAAGGCACCAAAAGGAATTTGTTTATGGGAAAGAAAACTCTTGATAAAGAAGAGTTTATGTAAATTTATAAAATTTTCCTTGGCACTCACTTGAGGTTTTCGCCGCTGTACTCCTTCTCCAAGAACTTGGTGAACTGCTCGCGTCCAATGGCATCGTTGAGCAACTCGCGCAAACTGAATGCCCAGCGCTTCACGCGCCGCACAGGAACTTCTTTGCTGTGGGTCAGAGAATTAGTGATTAATTTTAATTAATTTATTACTATAAGTAAACATATGTTATCATTTTCCAATGAATATATATCCCACCTATTCTTCTCCGTATCCCACATTTCGGTGCTGTCTGTTTGCCAAGGATTCGGCAGCTCCGGCGAGGTTATAAAGTAATCGAACTCATTGTACTGATCGTAGTAGGCAACCAGACTGTTGGAATAATAGTTAATTGTTATAGTTATTATAATTAATTATATTTATGGTAAACTCACGCCTCGGCCGCCTTGGACACTTTGATTGTGCGCCGCTCGAGCTTCTGTTTGCGCAGGGCGATGATCCGCGTGAGTTGCTCGACGGGATTCTTGGCCAAGGAGGCGCCGGCGGATCCGGTTCCATGGCTGGAGCCCCCTCGCCTGTAGGCCTTCTTGATGTCGATCTCGGTGGTGTTGACGCAGCCGGGCATCGGCCGGTGGACATCCCAGAAGGCCCGCTCCTGCGAGTCCAGCACCTTCCGCTCCAGCTTGTCCCGCTTCTTGGCCACCTTGCTCTGCGATTCGGCCTGGGTGGAAATGTATTTCATATTTATTTATATGTGACTTGTTATGAAAAATTAAATACAAGAAATACAAAATGAGATATACAGACAAGAGTAATACAAATCAACAATAAAGCTGTTATTGAAATCACATTAAGGACTTTATGTGCCATTTTAAAACCGATGTTTGATTTACACTTTATCTAAAACTATCCGTTTTATTTTATCTAAACTGGTTAAGCAATGAAAAAGGATATTTATTTTGATAAATTATGAAATGAACAAGACAATCTTGAATTTAAAATACTTATATGACATTATCAGGCAAGATAAAAATCATTCCTTAAATAAATACATTTAAGGGAATTAAAATAGAAATTAAATATATATCTCGTATAATCTGTTATACCTAAAATTTGTTATCCCCTATATTTACAACCTGCTCAAGCTGTCACATAGGTAGCACTATACCTTAAGTTAAGTTTTGCAATAAATATACACTTTTTTACTTTTATTAACAAAAAAATAGCCACATGATGTATGTACATGCTAATTCAACTTTGAAGAACATGAACTCAAATGATAGAGGTGTAAAATGGCATTTACCTCCCACAATAAAATGGGAATAAGTAATGGGGATATGCTAATTTGTACGAAAACCCACCTGCATGAATATGAACTCCCACTTCCTGGAGAACATCTTCTGCAGCTTGGCCAGATTCTCGGCCTCGTAGTCGGCCAACTCGAGGCGCGTCTTGTTCTGCATGGTGCGTTTGCAGAGGTAGACGGCATAGTCCGTATTCTCGGGCTCCCAGCAATTCGAGGGCCAAAAGTAGGGCGTCTGGAATCTGTCGGAAAGGAATAGATCTTACATATCCAGAGGGAATGTCCTGCAGGATGGGAACTCACCTGTAGAAGGTGCCGTCGTTCTTCACGGTCAGCGCATGATCGTCGATGGGGAAGATGTAGCCGTGGGAGCTGAGCAGGTGGGCGAAGTGCAGCGCCTCCGTCACGTCCTCCACGTCGAAGTTCTTGAGGATCCAGGCCACCAGATCCGCTCCGGTGAACACCGACGGCACCTTGCTCATGAACGCCTTCACCGTGCGCACGGCCACGCCCGTCGACTCCGCCTGCATCTTCTCGATTATGGCCTCCATCTGGATTCACAGGGTTTTCAGGGGTTAGTTAGTATCATTATATTGGCGGACAAAGTTAGCAAGAAGGTCTTAATTTTAAACATTAACCTAATATTAAAATAAAATAAAATAAAACTAGTTCCTTATGATTCAATTGTTCACACTTTTGAAACCAACATGAAATTGACTACATTGTCATTTTAATATTGAAATAAATAAATAATAGGTAATACAAAATTAATAATAAATAGTAATTTTCAATTTAAGAAGCATAATGTGGTAAATCCAAAGCTGACCTTTTTAAATTTCATAAATTTGTATAAATTTACAATCACTATATTTTAGCAACTTTTACTAATTGTAATACTGAAATAACAGACTATATTTTTTGTCAGCCTATACAAATTGAAAATGTTTTTTAACGTCTAAAAGTTTTTGTTTTTATGCAAATCTGACTTTACAGTCGAATTCCTATAACTTGAAGTTTTCCATCTTGAAGTATTGATCGGTTCGATTAAAGGTATGTATTATTTACATGGTGGTTAGTAAAAACCAGGTTAAATCAATTATTTTTAGTGGCAGGAGGTGGCTTAAGTTGTGAATGTTCGGGGCAATTACCTTTTTGTACACTAGTATGTTGGGTGCATCTTCGTTCTTGCCACCGCGTTGATGGTGCGAGGCGGCGGGCACGGCGAGGGCCGAGGATGTGGGCGGCGGGGGGCGGCTGGGAGGCCGACTGTCCCGCCGACGACTGCTGCGGATGGGGGCTGTGGTGGTGGTGGTGGTGGTTCCCGCTGACGGTCAGCAGACCGCCGCTTCCGCCGCTGCCGCCGCCGCTCTGCTTTCCGCCCGCCGACGCCGCTGCTGCCGTCGACGAGGAGGTGGCGGAGGAGGAGGTGGTGGCGGTCACGGCGGCGCTCTTGGCTCCCGAAGTTATGGAGGTGGCTGTGGAGGTGGATGTGGAGGTGGCTGTGGATGTGGATGTAGATGCGGATGCGGATGCGGTGGATGCGGTGGTTGCATTTGTTGCTGGCGGGGAAGCCGTTTCCATGGGTGTTCCTCCTGTTGCTGCTACTGATTCTGTGGCCAGTGCCGGTGACCCTTCGGTGTCCAGGTAGCCACTACCACCTCCACTCTTACTGCCATTGGGCAGTGGCGAGGGGGTGCCTCCAGCGCCGCCAGCTCCTCCGCTGGACTGCGCCTCCTCCGGAATGGTGACCGCCAGCGGATCGCTGCTGCTGCTGCTGCTGCAGTCCGTCTTCGCCGGCGCTGCGGTGCTGCTGGCATTGGTGGCTTGTGTTTTGTCCGCCTCCGAGTTCATCGTTACCATTTTCTCGCTCCTCGAACGCCGCTCCAGGGATATTCGATTTCCAGAGCTGTGGTATGTGCTATTTTTAAACGCTGGCCAGGGGCGTGGGTGCCGGCTGCTCGTTTAAGGGGGGCGGGGGGGAGAGTGGCTGCTGCTTTTAAAACGGGGGGGCGGGCTGCTCTTCTCCCAACTATCCTGTGTGTGCGTGAGTGCGTGTGTGTGTGCGCGCGTGTGTGTGTGTGTGTGTGTGTGTGAATCAATTTGATGGCAAAAAAGATTTTTTATTTAACTTCTAGGGGTCATTTTGCCTTTTTTACTGCCATTTTCCCCAGCGTTTTCCACCCACTCCTCCTCGCTTTTCACTTCGCTTTCTTTTTTCCTGTTTCCTTTTCTTTCGCCGTTTTTTTTTTTTTTTTTCCTGTATGCTTGAAATTTTTTGGAGTTATGACACACACACACACACACGCACACAAGGTGATGGCTAGTTTTTTATAATGCCCCAGCAGTTTTTCTTTTTTTATTATTATTTTATAGATTTTTAGAAATTTGTTAATTGAATAGATGTTTTATATTTTCAGCAGGGACTTTTCCCAGTTTTTGCTTGCTGTTTGCTGTTGCTCCTTGTTCCTATCTCTCTCTTCCTCTCTCTCCCCGTCTCTGTCCCTCTTTAGCCCTCTCTCGCTCTCGCGCGACGTGTTTTTTAGCTTTTAGCCCGTAATCATTTTACGGCCCAAAGTCAATCGGCTCCTTAGAGCTTCCTGCTGATAGTCCTTCATCGATTTTTGTCCTTCCTACCCCATAAGCTCTCTCTCTCGCTCTCTTTCGGCCCGCTCTTCCGCTCTCTTTTCGTCCTGCGCATGCCTCAATACCGTTGTTTACATCCTGCCAGCTGTTGTGTATCGATAACGAATATCCGATAAGATATCGAGAAATATTGCAAGGGAATAGTGATTGGTATTTAGGTATTATTATAATGATGAAAGAGAAAATATATATTCGGGTGAATATCAGTAAATACGATATTAAAGTCAATGTTTATTTCGAAAACCTCTTTAAATATCAATACTATATTTTGGATTTCCTTGATTTCCATCCACCCAACGCGAAACACTTTATTTTGAATTTGCTTTATTTCGATAATAAGAATTTGCGTCTACAAATTATTTTATTCGTTTACAATTAACAAAAAAAAATATATATATATTTATATGGATGGTATCCAAACTAAAGATATAATTAACGCATAGTTTTCATTAGTTGCATAGCGTGATTTTAACTTATAGTGACCTTAGTTGTTATGGCTTTTATACAAAGTTTTGCAATGATTTTGGAAAACATTCAAAAACAGATTATAATAAATAGAAAAAAATAATACATATAGTTTGTGTGTGCAGGATAAAACAGATAGCTAGGGCTTAACGAAGCAACCTCCGTTCCTACAGGTATTGATATTGTATATATATTTATGTATTTTACTGTATTTTACTGCCCCTAAGACTAAGTGGTGTCGGTAGCGCCCACACTCGTTTATTATTTACATAGGTTTCTGAATATATATTTACCGCATAGGGATATAGGTACTTATATATATATATGGTATAAATATATATATAATATATGTGTGTGTATGCTTCTTGCAACTCTGTCCGCAATGGGCGATATATATCGATTATCGATCGCCATCGAGAGATTGAAGTAGGACCAAATCGGGGTTTATCTCTTAAATGACCAGCTCTACATAACGTAACTATATGTTAGTGGTAGCAAATTGTTAATTGGATGCAAAATGAAAGTCAAAATGGAAGAGCCAAACAAAAAACAAACTGTTTCCAAAACAAGAAGACAATTAAACAACCATAGAAAATGAACAAAATTAATGATTTCTAGAGTATATCCTCACATGTAAGACACAGAAATACCATTTGAATGAGCCCAAAACTTAAATCACAAAATATAGAATTGTTGAAACAGCGAAAGTGAGACCATTATCGGGGTTTTTGGGTAGTTAATGGGGGCTTCAAAGTTTAAACACACATTGAGTAACCCAATTGAAATGGGATTAAATGAAAAAGAAAAACATATTTTTCTAGTTTCTAAGAAAGTTGTCGTCTAGGCTGGGATTCGATAGCGGATTGGCCTCCCTATAGATCACATTTTGACACTACGTTTATCAATGACATAGAAACCATCATTATCGACATGATTGTTCGGATTATGATATACATGGATGTGCAGCTACTGCTGTTCCCTTGACTGCCTCACCGATCGCTCCCTATCCCTGTCCCTGTCCCGCTCCCTCTCCCTCTCTCTTTCCCTCTCCCTTTCGGACCACAAGGACTGGCCAGTTTGAGCCTGGTAGGAAAGCGGAGGAGGTGGTGCCGCCAACTGGGCCTGTGGCACCAGTTCCGCCTGCGGATTGAACTGATTGTTGGTGTTGTAGTTGACCAGGATGTCACCGGCCAGGCTGTGGCCTATGTTAACGCTCCGATCGGGATAGCCCTGGTTCGGCACCTGGCCCTGCACCTGGATGGGCTGCGACTGCACCTGCACCGGCGACTGCGACTGCGACTGTGGCTGCTTGGAGCGCCAGTGCTTGTGCTGGGCCACGGGCACCAGGCGGTAGAGGGGCTCTCCCCCGCCGGACGGGGCACTCGGATAGCCGGGCACATAGTACGGCGGATAGTGCGGATGCGGATGGGGATGCGAGTGCGGATGCGAATGCGGATGCGGGTGACCCTGTTTGCTGCTGGGTCGTACCCGCTTGAATTGCGGCGGAGGTCGCTGCCAGAAGTGCAGGGGATTCGATTGCACCGGCGAAGGCGGCCTCAGTTGCTGGGGATCCTCCACGAACTGGGGAACTGGAACGGGCACTGGAGTGCTGTAGATCTGGGGATCGTAGATCTGCTGGTGTTGCTGATGCTGCTGATGCTGCTGATGCTGCTTCCCCACGCGGAAGTGACGACCCGGCAGGTAAGAGTCCTGTGGCGAGGTCTCCAGATTGGGATCCAGCTGGAGCTGCTGATGCTGCTTGCCCACGCGCAAGTGACGCTGTCTTTGGCCGGAAGGCTGGTAGACGATTGCCTTGAAAGCGTTCTGGTCCTGCTCGTCCGCACTGTAGTTCACCATGGGCAGGAAGGGCTGCTTGTCGAAGTCGGGCGGCTGCAAGCACAGATTTATAATAATATTTTACAGTATTTTAACATGTGTTTAGGGAGTATTAATAAGCATTTATTCTTTTGTTTAGTTTTTGTAAGATAACCAGTCAAAGGAAAAACTATTCGCTCCACAATGTTTGTTGCCAAAGTTTTAATCTCTATTTCTGATGCCAAAAAACTACAAACATTGTGTGGCGTATTTCAAACTTCCCGCCAAATGACTTAAGACTTAATATTTTTTGACTGATAAAGTGCTGCATACTTTTCGGATTTGTGTTAAATATAAAGACAGAACTGGTCATACTGAAACCACCAGCGAATGACTGACAAAAGCTCGCTGTTTGGGAACACCGCATAATACAAGCTGATAATGGTCTTACTGTCTTAAGCTACACAGAGTTAATCATAGATGGCGCTGAAGGCCAATAGCATATCGATTTGATATTGCCTACATTTCAGGGCTGCTTCACTTTAAAATAAAGTCCTTTGGAACAAAACCGAAAAAATGTTAAAAAAAGGGGCTAAAATATAGAACGTAATAAATCTTAAAATAAAGCAACATGGTTTTTCATCTATTTAAAAGGTTGTTATTGGCACAAGCCGTTACAAAAAAAGGAATCGTTCTGCATTTGAAATATGAAATATTATATACATAAAAATATGGTCGCCATATAACGCATTTAAAAAAATAAGATTTACTTTAAAAGATAAACCTTTTTTCAGTAGCGCTCTGTGACTGTATTTTAATATGTCAAGCAAGTTTCAAGCTTAGTTATGCCCCATTAAATTTATATGATTTTCGGTTGCTTTATGAAATCGAAAAATAAATACAAAATTAAAAAAAAAAACAATTCTATAAAAATTAAGAAAAAATGAATATTTCTTATTTCCTTTCAAAAGGTGGAACAATTTTCCATGGACCTGGTTGATCCCTAATCAGCTAATCCATTGAAAGGACTCAAAGGACACACATACCTGGAATCGGCCCGAGTTAACTGCTCCCGGCGGCGAGATGAGGTTGCTCCGCAGCAGCTGCCCCAGAGAAGCCTCGTACTCCGCGTGGAGCTGCAGCTGGGCGTTCCTGGGCTTGGGCGTGATGTTGACCACCTCGGGGGCCACATCGTTCGCAGGACTCGGCGATGCCTTGTAGTGCTGTAGGCGATCCTGATGCTGATGGTGATGGTGCCGCTTGGGTGGCTTTGTGGCCAGGAAGTCGTCGATGACGTTGGACTTGATGGAGCCCGGCTGCCGCTTGGCCTCGAAGTACTCGTAGTAGATGGGATTGGCCTTGGAGAGCGGCGGATCCAGCGGCGACTGCGACTGCTCCTGGCGACTGCCCTCCGTGGAGCTGGAACTGGAGCTGGGCACGAAGACGAGCTGCGGCCGCGGGGTGTAGTTGACGGGGTAGATGGGTATGGGCACGGCCACCGGAACGGGCACCCGCTCCACGTACTTGGGTGCACTCTGTCGCGGCGGCGGCGGCAGATAGGTGATGGCATTGTACTTGGGCTTGTAGGAGGTCCTGATCGCCGGCAGGTGCACTGGTGGCCTGGTCGTCGTCGTTGTAGTAGTAGTGCTGCTCGTTGTCGTACTGCTAGTTGTCGTACTGCTCGTGGTGGTGCTGCTACTGGGAGCCGACGGTGGTCGCCTGGTGGAGCCGGCACTGCCCTCCAGTCGGCTGAAGTGATCCGGCGGTGGGGGCAGGACTATGCCCGGCACCAGAGGTCCAGGCGGCACCGGATTCGAGTAGTTGCTCTTGTACACAAACGTATACGCCGGCGGATAGTACAGCGAGGGATCGTCCTCGTCGAAGTCGCTCACATTCCCCGGCAGCGGCGAATCCCCCGCCAAGGAGCCGTTCCCATTCAGCCCGTTGATCAGCCAGGGACCCAGGAGCGGTGGACTCCTCAGCAGACCCTTGGACGCCACCGTGTCGTTGGGGTAGAGCAGCCAGGGGGCATAGGGCGCCGGATAGACGTAGGCCGGGGCTTCAGGGGCAACCGGGGTACCAGGGGCATCCGGGGACCTAGCTGCCGGAGATGCTGCAGTCGCTCCCGTCCGGGCAACAGGATGCGATGCGAGATTTTCAGGGGCGGCGCCTTGGTGGCCCTGGTGGTGGGCGGCCTTAGCGGATAGCGTTGCATTGCCAGTCGCCGGACGGAGGATCTCGAGTTGATTATCTCGGATAAGCTGCAGCGGGCCGTGCGGTTCGAGCTGCACGGGAAATGGAGGCGGCACCGCCGGATTCGCTGGCAATTTGATCTGTCTCCCGGGCGCATCGTAGTCATCGATGGCCGGCCAGGGTCCCTGCTGATTGTCCTCGGCCTCCTCGTTCAAAGCGCCGCCCTTGATCACCAGCAGATGGTCCTCGGCCAGCCAGATGTCCTCCTCGTTGAGACCGCCGTAGTTCCGTTCGTTGTCCAGCGGCACCTCCGAATTCCGGGCATAGCTCAGCACTCCCGGTCGCTTGGGCACACGGCGGAAGAGCTCCCGCTCGATCAGGCCGTACTTGCCGTCCCGCACCTGGTCCGCCAGCGTCTTCTTCTGCTCCTCCTTGGGCGGCTTCTTGGCCGGTGCCTCCGCCTCCTTGCCGGAGCCGGCGCTCAGCCGCAGGATGCCGTTGTCCCAGTTGTCGAAGTCGTCGGGTTCGTTGAGCAGCGCCTCGTCGTCGTCGTCGGGGAAATCATTTGGATTTGGACGGGGGGTGTTGGTTCTGGGGGTGTTGGATCTGGGAGGCGGGAGTGGGGTGGTTGATCGCGAGGTGCTCGGCGGATGGCTGAACCGCGTGGTGGCCACTGTGCTGCTCAATCTCGGCCTGCTCGAGGGCTTGGCCAGTCGGTAACTGCTGCTCGCCTTGCCCCGCAACGGAGGTTGCCTCGTCGTCGTGGTTGTGGTTGTCGAGGTGAAGCTGCTCCTCGCAGTCGTCGAAGGACCATAAGTGGACGAGGAGCTGTTGGCACTCACCGCCGACACCTCGTACGTGGAGTGGCCCTGCGAATTGTGGATGTGGCCGGCCACCAGTCGCTGGATCATGCGCGGCCTGTCAACGAAATCGGATTGGGAATCGCTATCAGGGAGTGAGGGGCGCATAAATCAAAAAGCGGCACCCAAAATGGGCAGACGCCAGGCCGCAAAGAAGGCTTCGGTTAACCGAAGGACGAAACACCCTATAAATATTATATTACACGATTCTTATAAATTGTATGTACTAAACTAGGAGAAAGTTTAGTGTAAAATAAATTCTAATAATGATTTTTGGTCATTTCTTTTACAAATATCATTAAATGAAAAACCTAAAAACCGCTTTATATTTTTTTAATCTATGCTATTTATTCATAAGAAATAATAATCCCACTAATCCCACTTTAATCAAATAATGAATGAGTGCTTATTATTAATAGTTTAATGGAAAAACGTAATTTTAAGAAATATCTAATATATGATTTAAGCCGAAAAAAAGACCAAGCAAACTATATTTCAAGCTCTTTTTTAAAATAATGATACCCTTTTTTAAAGCAGGTATTAAAATCATTAATTTGCTGGTTAACAAATATAAAAAAATTGTAGAACATAATATCCTTTTATTTACAAGGTCTGCCCAGTTCTTCAGCTTCTACTTTAAATTAATTTTATTTAACAGAGCATACAATAAATAATTTGCGGAATATTCTAATGCTCTGAAAAACAATATCCTTTTATTTATTATCCTTCAAGCTTTTTGCCTCTCCCACAAACTAAGTTACCCCCTATTAAATAGGGTATCACTCACGTTTTTAGGGCGCCACGACTGGAAGTGGAGCTGTAACTGGAATTGGCCGCGGCATCGCTGGAACTGGGACTGGAACTGAAACTGAAACTGGAACTGGGCGAGTGGGCGAGGTAGGGGGTGGCGGTGGGCGGGGCCGACTGCCAGCTGCGTCGTATATTGTTGCCATCGCCACTCAATTCCGGGGTATCTCTCGGTTGACGCGGTCCCCTCACACTTCCACGATCCCTGGAAGATCGCCCAGCTGTGGGTGTTCCTGCAGTTGTGGTTGTTGTACTGGAAGTGCTGCTGCGTCGACGCTGCAACTGCCTGGCACTCGTTGTTGTTGTTGTTGTGAGCGGCGGCAGAGGAGTCGTGCTGCCGCTGCTGCGACCGCGACTGCGAGCCGGGGTCACCGTCACCGTTAATTCGATCGACTGCGTCGTGGGCGGACGACGCTGACGGGGCGCCCGCAACGTTGGCGCCTCTGTGCTGGTTGTGGATGCCACGCCCCCGCCTGCGGAACGCCCCTGCCGCGCTGCCGCGTCACTGTTGCCTGCGACGCCGTTGACAGCGCAGTCGACGCCAGCAGAGCTATCACCATCAAGTGCAAGGTTAACGATGCCATCTGGAAAGCAGGAAAGTGCAATGGGTGTTACTGAGATCGTGGAGAGTAAACAATGTTGTTGCTACACAGTAAAATAATCCTAGCAAAATAATACAATTAAGCCTGCGATCACAAAACGATTAGACTTTCAAAGTGCCACAATATGTGGAAATCATTTCTAACTTGATAATTTAATTTTATTTGTTACCAATTATATCTAAAACCAATAAATTAGTTATGTAACATAAATTAATTTCTTTAATGGCTTGGTAACAGCAAATCTAAATCTTTATGGCTTATAAAAAAAAAACAAAGAAAAAGGAGTTTGAAAAAAGTTTTAATTTAAATAAGATTGGAAAACACCTAAAATGCAAAAACCATTGTTTAATGTTGCAAATTTGGGTGTAATATTTTATGCTCCTTAAAAAGAATATAAATAGTTAATTATGCACTACTTAAGTCTTTACAATTTTATATAGTTTTTTAAATAGTTTTTTAAATAGTTTACCTTATTTATAAGCTTTCAATTGTTCAAGCGATAGGTATTTTTTTTTTGATTAATAAAGCTGTAGATCACGGCAATTAAAAATACAAACATTGCAAAATAAACAGATTTTATAAGCATAATTAAAAAAAATTATTCTTAAACTCAGAAATTAAGTACACTTAGTACATGTTTTTGAAAATCATTTATTCATTACCCTCATATTGGATTAATCCTATTAAAGTACCACATACTGTCAGATTATATCTCTATAAATCCCTAAAAACAATGTCTTCAAGCGGGCTTATTCAGCCGTTAATCAATTGGAAATTGCAAAAAAAAAATAGCGAAAAATGGCAAAACCGCTCACAATAGTTGTTGTAGTTGTTGCGAGCGGTTAATTAACATGAATGAACAGATAACAATAACAAAAACACGCTGTAAAGTTTTAAGCACGCGTCGTTTGCAACAACAACAACAACAACAAAAAAGAAGACAAACGAAAAAACCTGAAGTCAAAATCGTTTTTTTCAGATGCACTTGAGCGCATCGTTGAAAAATAAAGAGAGAGGGGTGCGATCTTAAGTTGGATACGTGATTATTTTGGCCATTCGATTGCATAATTAAAAATAGGAAAAGGCGAACAATTCATGATCATGACATAAGAAAATTAAATCAAAATTCAAGACAAATAAAGACATAAATATTAATAGCTAAACATTTTTAATGTCACAGCTATTAATACACATTTGTATATTATATTAATTTTTGTTGTATTTATTCCTAAGAGTTTCATGATGAATAGAGTCCATATTCTTCGAAAGTAATAAAACTTCTTTAATATCGAAATATGAGAACAGGCCATATGAACCATTGTATTGAGGTGTACCTGCAATTAGACCTTTACGACGGCTTATGTCTGTTTTTTACGCCACTTGAATGGCCGAGAGAACTTAGGCTTGTCCGCCCATCAATTTAATACAATCCAATTCGATGCCAACTTGGCCCGTCACTTTCGACGCCCCGAAAATGCCAAAAGCGAAATCAAGGACAGAGCTTTGAAGAAATCGAATCATAAATAACATTTTACTTTTGGTCTTTGTATTTTTCTCGACTTCTTGTCGCTGGGCATTACTCATACGCGCCGTGGCTAATTGACCAAAAACGCGACAGGTTGAAGATTTTTTTTCCACCGTCTTTTCCATTTTTGTATATATATATATATATATATGTATATCTACATTTTTTTTATTGGCGCCCACAAGTGCAGGCGCCAAGCTTAAAGCATTTTTGTTGTTGGGCGCAGTTGCCAAACCCCGAAATAAAAAACAATGCAAAGTGCAATAACAAAAAGCAAAAAAAAAAAACCAACAGATAAATATGCTTGGTGAAACAAAAAGCAAAAAAAAAAAAAAATAGAAACAATCAAATGGAACGTGATTCGAAGCCGAAACTTAAACCGAAACCGAAACTGAAACCGAAACCGAGTCCAAAGCCAAAACTAAACCCAAAACTGGACTGCGACTGGACTTTGCTAGGAATGCGTTGTATCGTGTGCCTTGCGCCTGTCCACTGCGCTCCAATTTCAGCCTTATTTTAGTTTTATTTTGGTTTTATTTCGGTCTTATTTTATTCGTAGAACCAGCAACGACCACAGAGGCAGCGGCTGCCAAATTGTTGTTTGGCAATCAAAAAAGAAGTTAAGACAAAAAGTCAGCCAAATAAGTGTGCTTGCCACGACGCCAAAGATAAAATACTCTGAAAAGTTTATTACAACTTGATAAGTAATGAAAAAATAGTATCTATAATAAAACATGCCAGGTGGAATAGGTAATAAATAAAGTAAATAAACATTATATGCCTATTATAAGATACGTTTTAAGATACAATTTATCAAAAGTCAGTTTAAGAAAAATACCTAATTAAATGTAAAACATGTGCATTTCTAAAATGAAGTTATGAAAATTAAGCACCTTAAGTATTGTGATACTTTTATCTTTTAAATGACTTAAAACATACTTGGTTGTTTACCTTTATGGTGCAGTCAATATACCCTCTTTGTATAGTTCGCTTTGGGCGTAGAGTATCATAAACAGTAAATAATGAAAACTGTTCGCGTGCGCAGTGGTCGGTGCCTAACGGTGCCTGTAGTGCCTGTTCCCCCGATCCCCTGATCCCCCATCCCCGATCCCCCGATCTCCGATCTCCGGTATGAGCCACCACCAGAGATTCGTCATAGAGGCGACCACGTTCCAGGCCAAGCCTTGGAGTCGCCGCCAGCCACTTGGAGGCATTTTTCATAACCCCAACGAGGGTACCACAAAGTGGTTGCATTTTAAAAATAATCATTATTGTATTTTTAACCCAAGAAAAGTAAATAGAACTTATGAAACTTTCTTAATAAAATTAAAAAAAATTGAAACTCTTATAAAATAATTAAATCTTTAAATAACCTTTGTTTGTAGACAATGAAAGAATAAACTTAATTTAAAATCAATCAGTTGTCAATATTAAATAAAAAAAATTGAATTAAATAATATTCCCCAAATGTATAAACTATTTTTAGATCACAACTTAAGTATCATGTTTTTGTCAATATATGTTTTGTAGCCAAGAAATACTAATTATTAAATAGATTAAATAGTTTCTATACTTAAAAAACTAATTCCAATATTTGAATTATAAAATATAAAACAAATACATAGTGCTCATAAATTTACAAAACTGTTCCAAATGTATTGTTTCTCTGATAGTCATGTAAATTCGTACAACAAAAAGTACACTGAATTCAAGGGTATCCCAAGTCGGTTCCACTAAATAAGCCTGCCTTTCTTATACATTTTTTTCTCGTACGCTTTTGTGTTTTGAATGAAAGGCAACGTCGTTGTCTTTGGCTATTGGCAATAAATAATTCTTTGTTGTTGCTGCGCCTGTTGCTTTACTTAAATTTAATTAGTTTATTTGAAAGCAGTTTGGGGCGATGGTGTCATAGATTAAATTGGACTCAATTCATTTTTTTCCTCGCTGTTCGTGTTTTTTGCTCAGCATTATCTAATTGTTCTTGTTATTTTTTGAATTATTTCTCAGACATTCCATTGCTTGTTCTCAATTTACAATATATATTACCAATTTTATTTCCGCAACACTTCGTAACGCGGCACAATTCAAATGAGAACTGATGGCAGAACATTTTGTGTATTTTGTTTATATTTTTGGGGGTGTACAATTGGATAGGGTTTCAGAACAAGTCAACGAACGCTGTGCTCCAATTAATGGCTGGCCAAAGAACAAAAGAAGTAGCGGACCAAGTCGAGTGACAATAAGCCCCGAAATTATATTTAAATGATAATCATAAATACAAAAATGTGATATGGGGATTTAGAGCGGAGAAAGAAATTTTCCGTGGAATTGTGTAACCAAATAAAATTATACAAATTAAAATGTTGTAAGTTTCGTTGGGCGTAACTGCCACACCGAATTGGAGTGAAGGTTAATCGGCGATGGTCGATGATTGATAGGAATGGAAAGGTGCAATGGTTTATGGATTGTAACATTATATTGCTGGCCATTATAAACGGATTTATGTGTAAGCACAGGATTCAGAAATTGTACATTATCTTAAACCAAGTAATGTTTAATTTGTTCTGTTGCTTAACTTTGATTATTAAGTAAGTTCCTAAAAACAAGTATTTGTATTGTATTTTATGAAATTCTCAAAATAATAGAACGTGCTAAGTGGGAGAATTTGGCTAGTGACATTTATATATATATATATATATATATATTTTATGATCATTCACACATTGTTGATAACTATTAAGCATGTGAAAAAACTTTCGATATCGTCATTTTTTGTATTATTTACGGCTTGCTTATACTTTAATAATTTTAAAACTGCACCTGAAGCTAGGCCAAAATTAAAGCCCGAATCGAGGTCTTAACATGGCGAAAAGTAAGTCACTTGGTTATCGCAGGCCGAAATCAGAGACAGGAAAATACAAGGCAACAGCTGAATAAAAAAATAAAAAGCGCCACGAGGCGTCACTGTGGGGGCGAACTACCCTGGATATCGTGGACCCCCTGAAGACCCCGTATCCCCCGATCTTGGAAATTGGGACATGAGCTGCAGGTCCGCTTCCCCCTCCCCCTTCACAACTCCCCCCTCCACCCCACAGCCAATCTTTCGGTTTGCATACATATTTATTTGCCGCCAAAGCAAAATATTTGTGCTGTTGTTTCACGTTGATACCTTTCGTTGAACGCCGCTCGCCATGGTCTGGAATTTTAAATAAATGCGATTTAGTTGTGCAACGATTTGCCTTGCTTTACTTTTTTTTCCCAACTTCTCTCGGTTTTCTTGGACGCCACTTGCTCTGTGAATTTATGGTAAATAATTAAAGTAACAAAAAAGTGGCTTGTAGACAAGACAATAACAAAAAGGCAGCAATATCAATGGCAATCCAACTCAGAAATACCCCATAAATATTGGGATCTTAAGTGTTAGATAACAATAATTGAAAACAAATTAAAATTATATTTATTTTTATACCCTTGCATTATGGGAATTATAATTGGTCTCGTATGAAATTTTTAGTTGTGGATTCCAAACGATTGAAACGAATTCAACGAGGTATGACATTTCAATATTAGACAATTAATTTGGGCAAAATATTATTTGTAAGGGGATATGTTTTTTTTTTAACATGAACATTTTTTAGCTGAGAATACCACTTGATTACATATTTTATAACGAATTAAACGATGTATGACATTCTAACATGCGACCACTATTTCCTAGAGTTTTGATTAATAAACCGAAAAATAGAGCAGAATATTTTCGGATTCTGGTCAAAATATATTTCATACCTTTTTGATTTTTTTTGCGAAAAATTTGTTTTACGATATTCAATTTCTGTAAATGGGACTTTGTTGGAAATTTTGTCACAAATTCAACGAGGTATGACATTCCAACATGCAACCACTATTTCCCAGGGTTTTGATTAAAAAAGCAAAAAATCTTAATCCTTTTTTTGAGGATACAACTTAATTGGACATTTTATAACGAATTCACTCCAACATTCGACCACTATTTCCCATGATTAAAAGACCGAAAAATCTAGATGATTTTTTTAAACTATTTCATTTGAAGACATCACAAACAATGTAAAAAAAAGTCTAAGGTATTTTGATAACTGTATAGAAAAACTTTACTTCGTTTTGCTTGAAAGGCTTAAGTTCTTAAGTTCTCCCGTCGTTAATGTGCCTCACAAATTGTATGCTGATGAAAAGTTATACTTTTGAAACTTAAGCTAAAGCACACAGTCTTCTACAGGGTATCAAGTGCGCTTGTCACTTCCTGGCTTTTCGTAAGTATTATCGTTGGTCTTACGTTTGTTTCTGTTTCTATTTATTGGCAACGAATATCAAAAGGCAGTCGGCGCATTAACCAACCCAAGCGACCAAGCTAAGCTCGGTAAACAGCTGCGTTCAAAATAGTAGAATTTTCTTGCTTTCATATTTATTAGCAAGCACGTATCCATATGTAAGGGATAAGAAATATCAATTGAATAAAACAAACTTATAAACACACATTAAAATTCCAAATTAAATAAATTACTGCCTTTCTGAATGATTGTTTTCAAAAATAAGTAAAAGATTTTTAGTTTCAAAAATGTTTTTAACACTAAGAATAATCGTTCTAGTACACTCCCAAATAATTTAGCATATTAATCTAACAATTAGGTTAAATATTTCAATATGGAAACTTATTAGAATTTTTAAGTAAGCTTTATGCGTGTAAGCTATAAAGTACAGTTGATCTTTTTAATACATATAAAAATTATATTTTCGTGGGCTTTTTCCTACCCCCACAACTAGTATTTTGGGCCCAGCTGTGTGTATATATTTCATTCTGTATTCCGTCGGGTCTGGTGTGAAAGCGAGAGTCCGTCGTCGTTGTTATTATGGGTAAAGTTATGCTCGGCGCGTAACTGGGCCAGCAACAACAACGAGAAATGTTTACAAAATATTCATTGATTTAAAATGTGGTATTTCTGAGTTTATTGCTTTGCCTTTTTGTTTTTTTGGGGGAATTTTTGATTGTTGTTGCGGGTTGATTGATCAGGCAGCATAGTGATGCAATTATGAGGGAGTTTTTTTTTGTTACAATTTAAGTTGAAATTTTCCCCCGTCGTCCGATGCGGCGTATGCGTAATCTTGGGCCGGCATTCCTCGCATTGCGCATACGCCGCTTGGTCCGCAGTAATAAAATATTGAACCATCAATTAAGCAGAATCTTGTGTCATTCGAGCAACCAATTCTGGGCGTGTCTTTAACTTCTGTCGAAATTGCAGACCCAGCGCGAAACAAGCAATAAAAAATCACTTGATTAGAGGGGCAAATCGACGGAATTGAGGGGATATAACTAGGGGAACTGGGCGTGGGAAGCGTGCAGCAAAAGCCAAACAACTTTATTATGCAAAGTGCCCAGAATGCCCCTCGTCGTGGCTCGCCAATCCCCCCGTTCCCCCATTCCCCCATTCTCATCATGATTTTGCCCTAATGACAAGCTGCCTACTTAGCTGTCTATGTATATAGTTTACCAACTTGAGTTCCCACTTATAAAGCCGTTCGATTCGTGTGCCAGTTCAAAAAGCGAAAAGGGCGACAGCATGTGCTTCGATTTTATGGGAACAGAATCGATATCCAGGCGGAGAAACACTAAGAGTTTCCCTTTAAAATACATTTATTTTCTTCGCTTTCCATGAAAAACAGAACAGCTTCCTTATAAATAGAATGTTTAAAAGCTAAATAGCAATGTTTTGAGTTCTTTTTGGGGTTAATAAAATACAATATCTTTCGAGCAATTTACAAGCATTAACAAAGGGAACAAAAACCTACTCCCAACCCATTAAACATTTATGTTGGCTAGTCATATTGCTGTGACATCCAGGCACTTAGTTGCCAACTAATTTTTGGACCACAAGTGCACGCTACGAATTTTCCCACCCGAAACCGCAAATGAATCACGTAGTTTCGAGCTCCCCCGAAATCGAATTGCCCGCGGGGCCAAGACATGCAACACATATTGCATGTTGCATGTTGAATGTTGCATGTGGCTTGCTGGTCGGCTTGGCCGGTGATTGACACCTTTTAACTACCGTGACGCAATGGGGCGACAACAGCCGGGCTTTGGCAGCCGAGTGACACATTTCCACAGGTTTTTTTTCCACCCGGCCACCCACTGGCTTTTCCCAGGGGGAAAATAAATGTGGGCCCCCGCCGAGAAAACTCGAATTTCGAACCGAATTTTCACCCGATAATCTATAATTATAATTGCCAGTCACTGGCGGTTCAGCAAAAGCCAATGAAAATTGCCCAACCGCACTTATGCAACCTCGATCTGGAATGGATCGGATTGGATCAATCCACTATATAGCCACGCCCCGATCTCGAGGCCCTCCCGCCGAGTGTGTTGCGCGATTTAGTCCGGCACGTCGCACATTTAGTTAGCATAATTCGCCATCTAATTGTCACCGACGGGCGAAGAATGCGGTTTCCACACTGTAAAAAATTACTTTCCTCCTTTTATTGCAGTTTTAGCTTTTTACAAAAACATATTGTAACATATTGCATTCAAATAATTAAGTTTAATAGTGAGTTAAGTCTTAAACCTTTCGAGTCTCAGTTCTTTAAGTTTAATCATTCGGCACCAAAATCTGGAATATATTTAAACATGTTCATCATAAATCATTATAATAGTAATAAATTGGTGAAAATATGATCCAGTTTCGAAAACTTAATTTGTAATATTTAATTGATAGAGAATTATAATAAAAACTTTTAAAGATATTTCACTTCAGAATCAGGATGCAATGAGTGTACCTTTTAAACTGCTATCCATGGCTTAAAAATTTAATTCCTTAGAAAATTGTTCAAACAGCGAAGTAATTTCTTTCGGTGCACCTACATTGCTGTCATTGTCAACACACTTTTTGCAAAGTGGTTCGATTCCCATTTCCAATTACAAAAGCGAGCTACACCCACCGCAAGTTGGGACGCAACATGATCGACTAATTACTATATATCGCCAGTAGAACCGATCATAAGCTGATCATGTCGATCATGAGGGACAACCAGTGCGATACAATCTAAGCAGGAAACTTATGGGACACAAAATGGGTGAAAAATGGGATTGGCTAATCTATGGAATATGGCATATATGAAAGTTGCAATTATAAATCAATAATATTAGGTGTTTGTGGCACAATGTAGCATTTTCTAATAGCTGCCAATAATCAAGTCATAAAATCAGTTAATTGCAATTTCATTTACTTGGTTTTTTAAGTTCTTATTTAATTTACTTAATTTACGGTTATACTTTGTATTCCAAATATGTATAATTATTGTTAAGATTTTGGTTAAATATAAATGTGTTATTTTTAGCACACAAATTTATATTTTACAATGTAAAAAGCAAAGAAGTGTTTTCAATCTGTGCTGCTTACTTTACCACCTTGATAACCAAAGGTTAATGCATTTCCGTTTCCGCAGGCCAAGTGTTTTTATTTCCACCTTTGATTTCCTTTTTGGAAACTTTACGGTTTTACGCCGGTAAAATGGTTTTGTGCAACTCACCTTTGGGTCTTGAGATATCACAGAATGGTTTTTGTGCATAAGAAAACGGCGACACTTGCTGTTGTTGCTCTGCTTGTTCCTATAGTTGTCGTTCTTGAATGTTGTTAATGTTTCTGTTTCTGTTTTTGTTTCTGGGGTTTCTTGTTTTGGTGTGAACCAAAAGATTTCCAGCAATTTTCTGGCTATTTTCGCGCTTGGCCTTTGTGCTTTTTGCTGTTTTGCTTTTGCTCCACTTGGTTTTCAGTAGAGCCGGGAGTTATTTACGCTACTTTTTATGATTTTCGCAAATTACTTTTCGTTGGGCAATTTCTTGTCTTGTTTATGGTTGTTATTGTTGTGGCTGTTATTGTTGTTATTGTTGTTGTTGCTGCTGGACACATTTCCGTTGGCAGCAACAACATGACGCAGCGTTCTGACCCTCAATCAACGAACTGCAAGAGGTTAGACAAATAGGTATTATAATCAAATAAAAACAAGCTAAGCAATTACTTATTAACAGAATATATTGAAGTAGTTTCAAGAAAATTGGAGCAAAAGAAAGTCGAGATATTGGATATTAAAAGTATATTCAACTCTATGATATGTTAACAACAATATAAGTAACCTAATGTATATTTCCTAATATCTAAAACTAAATAGTTAAAGGATAATAAATAGCAAAACGAAATAGAGAAAATATATAACTTAAGCAATTGTTTTAAATAATGAACAAAACTGTTTATATTTGTATATTGACAAAAAAAAGCGGTTATAGCTTATTAATACGTTTTTTATTACTTATCTGAACGTCTAGATATTCGTGATTGAACAAATTTACAAATCAATAAATTTTTGAAAACAAGAAGTGAAGTGGAATATATTTTTCTAATTATCAACCAAAAAGGTAAGACAATTAATGACTATTTTGAAGTACAAACAACATGTAATTGTCTCTTGATAAAACCAATCAGTTATAGCCCCGGAATGCCACAAAATTCAATCAATTCAAACCGCTGAAAGCGGAGATACTGGGGATTAAACTGATTTACAGATCCCAGCTAAGTAATAAAAGCAACAAGAATGGTAATGAAACCGCTGCCAGCACAAAAACCCAATCCACATCGTAATTACGTTTTTAATTAGGGGATTTATAAGCGGAGGCAGTAGTTCTACGATTTCCACTATTTTTTTTTTTCACAGGGGAAAGGCGGAAGTCCATCGTTTCGCTGTGTGTCTATTTTTTTTTTTTGGCTTTGGCATGGATGCAACACCTGGCGGTTCGGTTGTCACCATCCATTTGGATGAGTGTCCATAAGTCCAAGTGTCCAATTGCAGCGCCTCTGCCTTCCGTTCCATTTTCCCCCTAGGTAATTGCCGCATTAAGAAGAGAAATGATCAGTAAGCAACAACAATATTATTCAGAGTCGTTTGCGCAGTACATCAAAATTACATTAGGCCAACCGTGTGAGTGGTGACACATTTATCGAGTGCCGCCCGTCGTCTCACCCAGTTGACTGTGATGTGTTAATTAGTCAAATGTTGGTCAACACTCTCAGCCAACTTGACGTTGTTTGACTTGAGTTTCAAGTGGACTTTGTGGTTTTTGGAGGGGCAAATACATTTCTTGAACCGCCTAAACTGATTATGCTTTGGGTTTATTAATAGCAAATATTTATTTATTATTAATTAATTGTAGCCTGATAATTTAAAAGTCGTAACATGAGCTGAAAATACATGAATTATACAATGTATTCCAAATAAAGCCTCAAAAAAAAAACGTCTTCCTGTGTTTTCCCAACTCGCTTTTATATCAACTCCTCGTAAATAATGGGCAATCAATCTCACGTAATATTCCTCCCTTCTGCTTTGCCTCATTTCCTTTTCATTATTTTTCAGTTTATTGAGATTTTGCAATATTATTTCTGGCATCTGCCAGACTCTGTAAACGCGGCATATCGTTTTGGCCTTTTCCTGCGTGCAGTGCTTTTGTATGCCAGGCACAAAAATGCCAGGCGAAAAGCGAAACAAAATCGGCAAAAATGATTTAATAAGTCGCCGGACAACGGCGGCCAACAACAAAACCCACTGGCAACCGGATATCAGAGTCGAAGTTGAAGTTGGAACCGAAACTGAGTAAATGTTTTGCAATTTCCCTAAGATTTTCATGAGTCGGCTGGTATTTGTATCTGTATCTGTTGTATCTTAATCTGTAAGTGTTTCTTTTCGCAAAATATATCCGTATCTGTGCGGCATGTTGCAACTGCACATGTGCGTGTGCCACGATCGGCGGTTCCTCAATTAAACAGCACTTGCATACATACAATTTCATTTGTTTTTACCATCCATCGGCAACTCGACGCCGCATAAGCTCCCGAAAATTAAGTCCAGCTAGAGCCGATTAATGGTTAAGCGTTTTAATGCCCACTCGAAGTGTTGATCATCATGAGAGCAGCAAGTGGACACCAAAAAATATAACACCGAAAAAATAAAGGTAGTCTTGAGGAGATCTTAGAAAAAAATAATATGTCAATTTGAGCCTTTAACTACCTAGATATAATATATAAAATATTCTGTTCCTTTTTATCTGCTTGGTCAAATACTTTTATTATATATTTATAATTAGTTATTGTATTCAGATCTCTTTTATATATTGATAAAGTTAGCTGGTTTTTATATTTTTTGAAGTATATAGTTTTTAAACATTTAATTTAATAGTTATTATTTATTTGGACTTGGATTGCTTCTCTTATTCTTTCTCTAAACTTTCATATGACTTAGTTCTTTATAAATTATAAAATTATTAAATTAAAAATCATTTCCTCTGTCAGATTTTAAACATCTTCTATTATTTACCACATCTTTCAAGAAAACTCAATTTTCTTATGCTAATAATTATTTTCCGTGCAGCAAACACCAATCGCCGAAGAAAAAACACTTGATTTACGAGTTCCGTCCGCAGAAGCTGCAACTTGCAGTCGTGGATGTGGACGTGGATGTGAATGTGGATGTGGATGCCACTTGACTCATTTGCCGCACTCATCCACTCATCGAATTCATTCATTACGGGACAGCCGTTTTGCCGCCAATAATTGTTATTTTATTGTTCAATCGCCGACAACATCGCTGGCCGCTTTGATTTTCGCCGTCGATTTGGCCCCATGAATAATAGAGTTGTTTTTGGCGTCGTTAACGGAAGGCATTACGATTGGGGATTCGAACATGATTCGACAGCAGATTCGTTTCGACTGGCCAAGTACAATCCCCTTTTCCCCTCCCCTTCACAGAAAAACCATCGAATTGATCTTGTTTTTATGGCGCTTGATTTATACAAGGTTCCCGTTTGCCACCTGCTCGACTTCAAGGTCAAGTTGGCTGGATAGGAAAATTGAGAAAATATCTCGTGTAAATTTGGAAAAACTTACGATCACTCTACAGTTTCCACATTTATTTTAAGCAATATCAATGCGGATTTAGCAAATTACTGGTCGCTTATTAAGCTAGCACTTTTTAAGTTCAACAAAATACCTTTTTACATTTTCAAAGCATTTATATAAAAAAAATAATTCATAAATTTTTTTAAAATATATGTGAAAAGTAAAAATGTAAGCTAAGTAAAAACACCAATTGAATTATAAATGTAAGCCCCTCAATTCTTTAATGAGTCAGAAGAAGTAGCTTTATCATATTATATTTCAATATTGTTAGTTGTGACACTCTTTTAAACAAGAAACATTTTTTTTTTCAAAGCCTACATTCAGAATGGCAATGTGATCCATTACAATTAGAATAAGTACTCCATTTAGCAGCACTGATATTAGTGTGTAGCCATATCAATTAAATAGCACCTCCCTGCAGATTCCCATCCGAGGTAAAAAGCCCTAATTAGAATAAACCAGCAATCATTATGCAAATGCGGGTAATGAGCGGCATCCCATCTCGCGTTTGTGGGTCGACAATTGCGGTACGCTTTTACTAATTCGGTTTAATTAAGGCATCGCGGCGTTAATGAACCGTAAAACAAAGACCAGGCCCAAAAGCCGGCACAGTGGGCCTAATACATGGCCTCAGCTTCGTTTTTATAGTTATAGCTCCAATTGCAATTTCCAGCTTTTATTTTCCGCCGAGTGAAAGAAGGGCAAAAGCCAAGACGCTAAAACAAACGGGCAGACAAAGAGGCAACTTTCCCGCCATCAACAATGGGCAGTTGGCTGTCAGGTGGGCGTGGCATTCGCCTGCTGTTCACATGTGTCTGTTTTCGAGTGTCTACTGTCTACTGTCCACCGTCTGCCACCGCTAATGACAATGATGGTGGGTAAAAGTGCCGTGCCGCCAGTGAAATCCTCCAAATCGCACAGCTCTGTGAAAGCAGCAAAAAGTGAGTGACTTTGGCCCTAGAATCAAGTTATTATATGCACATGCAGAGGGAACTGAAACGATCTAGAAAGCGACGAAAGCCCTGTAGTTTTGCACAAATTATAGGAAAGCTTATAGTTACTGTTCAAGTGGGCAATAAAAAATATAATATATTTTCCTAGCAATTTTTACATGTATACGGGATTTCTTTTTAAACAAACAAATAGATTTCTAATTTATATAAGTATTAAAAAGAATAAGTTTTATATAATTTAAAAAAAAGTTTCAATAAAATATTTCAAATGTATAATTTTTGAGTTTTTCCGGCTCGAGGTCAACAATTGAAAAATGTTTTAAATAAAAGTTTTTAAATTTTATTTTTTATTTTTTTCGCCAACAAACAAAATTATTTCAAATTTAAATAAACATAAAAAAATTACAATATCTTTAATAATTTAAAAGATAAATCCACAATTTTTTTTTGTACATTTTCTGCAAGTTTTTTGTTCAAGTCTTTTGATTTGCATATATTCCTGCAGAAGTTTAAGATTTGTGCAGTCCATTCTACGGTCTAGAATTTTGTGCTGATTCAGCAGCAGCTCGGAGCAACCTGACACCCTTCTAAAATTGTGAAAGGAACCAATGACAGATCATAAAATTCGCAAAAAATGTTTCTCGCGCTTTGGCTGTTTTTGTCTTGGCATGGAAATCAACCCACACTCAACGCGCGATTAAACATTAAATAAGCTAACGCACTAACGGACTGCGACATGATCATTATGCAGATTTATGACTTCAACACTTGCAACTGATAGTGCGGCCAGCCCCCTTCTGCACCCCCCCTTCTGCACCCCCGCCCCTGACCATTTCGTTGTTAACAAAGTTGTTTGTTTATGAGGCGCTTGGCTTGAATTATGGCTGAATATTAACAACAATTTAGCGGCTCAGACTTGTCGCCAGCTTCCACAGCCATTAGCAACGACACTAGAACGGATCGGTTCAGATAAGTACCGGGCTATATAGTGGATTGGAGCATATGGATTGCCCATATCTATGTAGGCCCCAAGTGGGCGTCTCAAATTGCCTTTAATTAATCATTTTGTCATGGTACTCAGCTCTAATTAAATTCAATTTCAAGAATCGATCACTCGGTCCGTCATGTTGAAAAATGGTTATTTAGCCATTGCGAAATCTCGTCTGGGCTAAGCGCTCTAATTGGTTTTACTTTATTTTATTTTACTGATATTTTTTCTTACTCTGCCTTATAATGTCCCCGATAACTGTTTAATTGCCAAACGTTAACAAGGAACCCACTGAAAACACTGAAATTGTTGCATGCAACTCTTGGTATTGGGTCTTTGCAGTTCGACTTTGTAACCAAAACATTGCAGCCGCCCCATCGGGCCACGCCCCCTCGATAAGGCGTTACTATCTGTCGGTCAGCAAAATGTTTGTTTAAACTGCGCTTTTGGCTGCCAACGAAATGGAAACACCAAAGGTTACAGTGGGGCAAAGCCTTTAAAAACAACAAGACAAATATGAATGCTTTAATATTGTAACTGTGCTTTACCTGTATAATATTAAATTGATTCCCATCAAATGATACTGTTTTATACCGCAGACCAATATTAGAAACCTATGAATTGCAATTATTATTATATTAGCATTTTAAAATGATCTACAAATTAAATAGTTGTTAATTGAAGAATAAAACGTATTAAGACCAACAGTTTAGAAACAGCTTTTAGCTTTACATGGTACCTTAAAATAATAATATAATAATATAATATTAAATTAATACAACACTTTATTTGAGAAATATATGGTGGTCACTGTTTTCTTGGGTGCGTGAGATGGTTTGTCTCTCACCTCCACCCTGCTTCTATATCATTATTTTTGATACACAGAAAAAAATGAAAGCCTTTGGTTGGCTGACTATATTTAATAAAAAAATTCCCTTTCAAAGAATATAGACAAAATTGCATAATACTTGACAAAATAATTATTTGAATTTGTTTTCAGATTTACAAAAACCTAAAAGATAAAATATTTATATTAGTTTTTTCTCTAAGCATTTTCTTTAGTATGCTAGATGGCATGTGTGTCGATTGCAATTAACTAGCTGGTAATATGAGCGGGCCAAGAACCAGAGCCCCCCTCCCCCTCCCCCTTCAACTCCCCTTTGACCTGTTGGCTTTCTGCTTTGCATTTGTCGCTTGTCGTTCGTCTGGTTTATTGCACTTTTGGCAGCTAATATTTATTAACCATAATTATCGGTTGCCGCCGGCCGTTCTAACTGTACACGATCTTTTGGGCACGGCTTCCGGGCCAGACCAACTCGCCTTAATTGCCAGCAAAGGCAGCAAAATCAGCAAATGCAGCCGTTTGTTGGCATCATGCAAATTACTTGACTCGACTTGGCTCTGAATCGAGTGGGCCGGCACAGCTGAACTCAAATTGATAGATGGGCCGAGGTGAGGACAGGCCAGCATTGTGGCCGGCATAAAAAGCGCCGACTCATCTTTTGCCAAACAAATCCATTTCCCTCGACGTGGAAAAAGCGCTTTTCTTTTTGGCATTGAATGAAAATGCGAAGGTAGCCAAAGTGAATGTCTGTTGATGTTGCCACTTGCCACTTGCCACCGTTGGTGTTGCTGGTTGCTGGTTGCCAGTTGCCAGTTGCTACTGTTGCAGCTGGGCCAGCGAAATCTTTTGGCCGGAAGCATCGACAAATTTGCACTAAATGGCGCCATGGCACGCGCATGATCATCATCAACACAATCATCGTCTTTTGGCCATTCAACAGATTATGTTGATGGTTTTATTATTTTTCTTTTTGGGTATTTTTTTTGGCGATTGCTCGCGCTTCGTGATTTAATTTTTTTCCACCTGGCTTGGGGTTTGTTTTTTCGTTGCCTAAATTAAAAGGCATACGCTCGGATGTAGTTTGTTGGAAAATTAAAAAGAAAAAAGTACGAAATTGATAGATAAACCGATTTAATGGGCCAATAATAAACGAGTATTAAAACCCAAAAAAAAAAATGTAATTATATTTGGGTATATGGAAAGGTAGATTTACGTTGAAGAGGTAAACAATGTGGCAAACATTTTTTGGCAACGATAAAATATCAACTTGGAGAGATTATAAAATAAATTTTAAATAAAGACATGCTAAATAAACTGGTGGCTTACATAAAAAACTTACCTAATAGCACATTATAATTAGATTGCAATTTATGCGGAAAAAGAATGTATTAGGTGAATTTCCGAAACTATTTGATTGACGGATGTTCCTAAAAAGATAAAAGAGTAGAAAAATAATTTAATTTAGCTTTGAAGAACTGTAGAGGAAATATCATTAAGCAAAATGATATAATTTTCACTAGTTTTCATAATTAAAAGACTTAGGACACAAACTTCAGAAATATTAAAGCTTAAACTTAAAAAAAACAATTATTAAGACATTTTTAACAATGGGTTTGTCATCATAACATATTTTAAACAACCCAATGTTTCCATTTCGCAGTTAGAATTTTCCATCTACCGAATGGGAATGGGAAAAAACAAAAGACTTAGGACACAAACTTGGTAGTTATTTAAGCGTACGCGCAATTGAAATGACAAATGCCACAATGCATATATCCATATGACGCAAGTGGCCACACAGACCCCCTTCTTGGCCACAGTTTTACCCACTTGGTCTGGTTTTTTTTTGGTCCCTCTATAATTTACTTGGTATGCGTGCGCGTTCAATGCATTTTTCCTTTATTTCTCTGCACGGCGGCAACGATAATTTTCATTTTTTTTTGCGCCGCTGCCGTTTGTTGCCTGCCAATAAAAGTCTTTGTCAACGATTTTGTTGTTGTAATCAAGTCACACGCATGCGCAACGAAGACAACTATTTCAAACATTTCTGTGGCGGCTCTCTTCATTTGCATTTAATTCCAGCGAAAGAAATAAAACATATATCTATATACACCCATTTCCCCTCCCTCCATCCGACTGATAATTAAATCGCATTTAATTGCCCTCAACGGTAATAAAAACAATGTGTGGCAATTGTGAGAACCCACAGAAGCCATTGACATATGGCATCGACATCGGCATCGGCATCGGAATACTGAATACTGCAACGATTGCAAAACATATTGCCAACCATTTGTCCAACCAGATATTGTTCGGGCTGAGTTATTTGCCGTTGCCGTGGCACAAGACAAACGATATGCATTCATTACTTATGACAGCAATGAATGCATATCCCAATGGCCCTTGAAAGATCAGAAGAGATCGGATCGGGGGATGGGCAATCGTTTTCCGATTGGAATATCACTCGCTTATTTCGTTTTCCGATTGGACTATCATTCGTTTATTTCATCTTCTGGGAGGAAACCACTTTAAATACCCTCTGATTTATAAGTAAGATAAGTATAACTTTAACTTTAGTTGTTTATAATAAAATATTACACGATATCCAATTGGTAGCAAATACAATTTATTTTAATATTTGAACACCACAAAATCCGGAAAAAAAAACATCTCGATTTTCCGAGTTTATAATCAAAACCATCAGAAATAGTGATCGAAAGTTGAATTGTTGAAATCAATTCTTACCCTAAGAAAAAGAATATCGTTAAAACAATTTTCTCTAAAAATCTGCGTTCAAAATTTTTAGTTTAACGTTGATAAAATTTTTAACCCATTTTCATGTCAGTAATTTTTCAGTTTCCGATGACTTGTGGTGACCTCCAATTTGACTTCCAGAGTCCATAACTTTACCAATTTTAATCCGATTTTAAAGTGACATACCTCTAAAGACTCGTGGAATCATTCTCTAAAAATCTGCATTCAAAATTTTTAGTTTAACGTGGATCAAATTTTTAACCCATTTTCATGTCAGTAATTTGTTAGTTTCCGATGACTTGTAATGAGGTGACCCCCAATTGGACTTCCAGAGTCCATTACTTTACCAATTTTAATCCGATTTCAAAGTAACATACCTCTAAAGACTCGTGGAATCATTCTCTAAAAATCTGGATTCAAAATTTTTAGTTTAACGTGGATCAAATTTTTAACCCATTTTCATGTCAGTAAATTGTTAGTTTCCGATGACTTGTAATGAGGTGACCTCCAATTGGACTTCCAGAGTCCATAACTTTACCAATTTTAATCCGATTTCAAAGTGACATACCTCTAAAGACTCGTGGAATCATTCTCTAAAAATCTGCATTCAAAATTTTTTCTAAAGACTCGTGGAATCATTCTCTAAAAATCTGCATTCAAAATTTTTAGTTTAACGTTGATCAAATTTTTAACCCATTTTCATGTCAGTAATTTGTTAGTTTCCGATGACTTGTAATGAGGTGACCTCCAATTGGACTTCCAGAGTCCATAACTTTACCAATTTTAATCCGATTTCAAAGTGACATACCTCTAAAGACTCGTGGAATCATTCTCTAAAAATCTGCATTCAAAATTTTTAGTTTAACGTTGATCAAATTTTAAACCCATTTTCATTTCAGTAATTTTTCAATTTCCAAGGACTTGTAATGAGGTGACCTCCAATTGGACTTCCAGAGTCCATAACTTTACCAATTTTAATCCGATTTCAAAGTGACATACCTCTAAAGACTCGTGGAATCATTCTCTAAAAATCTGCATTCAAAATTTTTAGTTTAACGTTGATCAAATTTTGAACCCATTTTCATGTCAGTAATTTGTTAGTTTCCGATGACTTGTAATGAGGTGACCTCCAATTGGACTTCCAGTGTCCATAACTTTACCAATTTAAATCAAATTTTTAACCCCTTAGGAAATATGTTTTGGCCAAAATCAGATCGATTTTTCAGTTTTTTAATCAAAACCCTGGGAAATAGTGGTCGAATGTTGGAATGTCATACCTTGTTGATTTCGTATAAATTTTCCTATCAAGTTGGATGCTCAGTACTACATAGTAGCCTTCCTCAAAGTTAAACGTATGAAACACGATTTAAGTATAATCTGAAGCTTTTTGTTTTGTTTCAATTGGACATTGTAATAATACATATTTGGGTGTTTGCCAATTTTCTAGCATTATCAGCACGTAACCATTTTTCCACCGAAAAATGAATTAAAAATTTTCATTGTCAACTCCGCTAAACGGCTACTTATCGCATTTAATTGTGATTATAATTCGTCTGTTTATGGCGGAGACCAGAGCTGCAATTAGCTGGCAGTTGATTAACAATAATTGCGATGTGAAACACTTTAAAATGCCATAAAAGAGACTTATGAGCGGCATGCCAAACGTAGTGGGTTGCGGGATTTTATTGGTGTTGCAGAGATCGCAGAGAATGCCCCACATTTGGTCAGACCCCCAAAAGTGGTAGAAAAATGTGTGTTCAACAGGATGCAATCAATGTCATCCGACAGCCGGTGATATAATTAAGTCGAGAATGCCGAATAATTGATGCCAATTGATTGGACAGGAAGCGCATAAATTGAACCGAAACCAATCGAACAAATCGAATCGAATGCAATTGTCAATTCTACGAAAACGAGTGCATAGAACTTATGACAGCTTCATTGTAGGAAAATGGAAAATGGTTAAATTGAAAAACTGCAAAAACAGATGGCGATCTTATCGCTGGACTTGCGACAAGTTGATCGATCGATGGGACCACACATCGGTGGCAGCTTGTCGAACCTATCGTTATCGATTGGCAATCGGCACGATTCGGACACTCGACATGTGCCCAATAAATCGAACATTGAACATTGACAGACACACAACACTTGGGCGGTAGTTGGGTATAAATTATCTTTTCAGCCGCCATCATTTTTCCTTCGCCCAAACAGTTTCCTTATTTGCCACGCCAAATAAATTAAGATGTTGTTAACATAATTGTAATCTTTAATGGCGGGGTAAAAACGAAAAGAAAGTAATGAAAACTGCGCAAACACCAAATGATGAATGTGGCCAGATAAATTCAGCGAATTAAGTGAAGGAAATTTTGTTTAAGTCTAAAAATGCCTGCGAATAAAGCTTAATTGTGGATGAAATGATAGAGTGGCTAAACGCTTAAACAAAATGGTTTATGGTGTGTGCCTAATGATAATACGCAGTTTTCCCAGTCTTCAATTATTCGCTTAATGTCTAAAAAAAAACCTATTAAACAATTTAAATCCTGACTTACTTTTACCTTCGTTTTAAATTGATTGGTACATTGGTATAACTTTTTTTTAATATTTAGCTGTGTCAAATAATAATGTTTTACAGTTAAAACCATTTAAAATCTGTATCTTAATTATTTCAGCTCTTATCTCTTTATTTAAATTCTTGTATAATTTAAGTTAATTCATTCACATTCTGGTGGTGAAAAATGTTCTTTTTTAATTCCAGACTCCATCCGCACTCCTTTGAATACCATAACTATTGATTAATTGGTTCGATCTGTGGGCTCCTCGATTCCGTGATTCATTCTGGTCTTGGTCCCCCTCCAGTTATTTGCATTTTACAGATCGCGTTCGCCGCCAATCGAAGGCATATATGTACATGTGTACATTCGCATATCACATATGCTGCTGGTCGCCCATAAATATTTGCTTATGGTAACCTTGGGTGCGTGGCTTAAACCCGTTATGGCCGGACGGGCATTATCTCGCTTTGGGTGCGCATTTTCCGAGACTTGCCTGCGGGGCATAATTGGGTTTTAATTGATACCAAAACGAAAAGCGAATGAAAAACCCCCCACAAAAGGCGGCTGAACTCAAATCAGTGCCACGAAAAAATCGAAAGTCTGAAGTATGCATGCAAATTCTAGTAAAGGGAAGTGATTAATTTTGACGTTGCGGAGGCTTGGCTTAGTTTTAGTTTTTTTTTTTTTTTTACCAGTCACATATCACATCATATCGAATTACCGAGCAGCCTTAACAACACAATTAAGACCCATTTACATTTTTGTTTTTTTTTTTTTGTGGGTTTTATTTCCATTTTTCCCCGCAGCCAATTGAATTGGCCTAATGAGTGCAACGAATTTGACAGCATGGATATGGATATCTATGGATATATGGTCATATATAGCGGCCCATTCGGATCTGTCGATGCATCTAATCCGCGGCCGCTGATTGTTCATTCTGAAAAATATGTGAAAGGGCCGTCGCCGGGTTGTCAACGCGATTGGAATACACAAATATAGCCACGCCGATATGCAGATCGAAGCTTATAAAGCCACGGACTACAAATCATTGAGTCACGCCTATGAAATTTACATAAATATGAACATACAAATAAAAGAAAAGGAAAACGTTTAAGCGA